GTGATCTTTTATGCATATTTTTTATCTTTCTTACAAACATCTTAAGTTTACCGGTTCTTCTATAAATTTACAGACCTTTGTTTGTGTGATTACCTATTTTTCTTCTATTAAGTTACTGACTAATTTTATTTTACCAACTTTGATTTGAGTTGCTTGCCAATGCTTTTGAGAACAAGTCATTCTATTTTTGGGCTGGGCCACGGAAGTCCTCTCATACTTGATTTAACTATTACCTAATGAGAAAATGACACTAATAAGTTTGTTTAATGTGGTCCGTGCATTATTCTTGAATGTTCAATCTCATCCTAAACTTTCAATTTGTTCAATCTAATCCCTTAAATATATATGAGAAAGATAATTAAGTCCTTTAGTACTATTCACAAGTTTCCGTAATTATACTATTGCCCGGATTTCAAAAAAAAAATTCATTTTAATCCATTCCTAAATCAACAAAACATATACTATATTTTTATCACCTTGTTCAATCTAATCCCTTAAATATATATGAGAAAGATAATTAAGTCCTTTAGTACTATTCACAAGTTTCCGTAATTATACTATTGGCCGGATTTAAAAAAAAATTTCATTTTAATCCATTCCTAAATCAACAAAACATATACTATATTTTTATCACCTTTTTACCGTTTTGGTCTCTATAAATATTACGATTGCTCAATTTAAGTATATTTTAGCTTATGATTTCTATGTTAATAAAAGTATAATCTCATTTTGAGTTGTATCGGATTGATATTCCTGCAATTTTAATTTCCTTAGATACATGTTTAACTAAATTTAATTAAGAAAACACGAAACTGCGAAAGCTTAAAAATTTCATCTATAAAAAAAACTAGAAAAGAGATTTAAATTAACATAAGTACAATTGTCTATATTTGACTTCATATTATTTTTTAGATATTCTTATGAAAACATCCTTTTTTGTAAATTTAACGATGATCAACCCGATACTACTCTAAATGTGCAAAAAATCCTTTTTGGTTTTTTTAATTATTATGGTGCTTTTAAGGATATTTTAGCTTATTGGGCGCAACGTTCGGCGACTATTAGTATTATTTTCCCAAAAAAGATAGTATATTTCTTTGTTGATTTACGAAATGGATTGAAATGAAAAGAAATTCTAAACTTTTCGCAATATATAATTATATAAACTCGTGAATTGTATCGAACGAACGACCGACTTGACAAGTTTAGGGACTAGATTGACCATATTGGAATAGTTCAAGCATCACACTGAACGAATTAAAAGTCTAAGAATGATATCGCATGTCGGGCCAAGTGTAGAAATTATTAATGTCATTTTCTCTTTTCTCTGATCACGAGAGAGCCCCATTCATGAGTATTTTAAGCCAACGACGAGGCCTACTTTTCCTTGGGCTGATCCAACCCGTCCACGATGACACGGGTCTGCTTTCTTTGGGGGATTTGAAAGGATCTCCCTAATCAATTTCATTAGCCAAAGTCATTTAAAACTCGAAGAATCATTCAATTAGGATTCATTAAGATGTTTGCGAGGTGCGGGGTTCAAATCTCCACTGCAATGCCTTCCTCGTTCGAATCTGAGGATGGGGCGAGCTGTAATTCCTAAGCATTCTAGTTTTATCCAACTGCATATCTGTACTGCTCACGGGCTTTTTCGTCACTAAAAGAGATAAAAGAAAAAGAAGATAAGAATTAGAGATAAGTGCGCACTAGAATTTCTAAAACTTATTGCGAAAGTGCAATTGAGACTTAAATCTTTCAAAAAGTGCAATCGAGTCCTAAAACTTGTCAAATTGGTACAAACAAGCCCTTCCGTTAACAATATCAATTTGGCTAACGGAAAATGCTGACGTGGCATTTTCTAAATCATTCTCTCTCTCCTGCGTTCTAGGACTTCTAGCGCACTTATCCCTAATTCTTATTGGGGAAGAAAGCTAGTGGGCCTTCTCATTGGGCCTAGTTGATCGACTTTGTCTCTACGTAGGCTTCAATCACTTTTCTGAGCCCAAGCCTGCAACAAAGAGGGTGGCCCATAACATGACCCCAATTTCGTTTTTTTAACTTCCTTCTACTGCTCGCTCCAAGGGGCCAAGAGAAAGTTGCTCATTTTATCCGTTCTGGGAAACAATATAAATCGAGATCAAGTCAAATTAAAACAAAATTATTTTTTTTTTTCCAATGTTCAACCAGATTTCTTGATGTAGCTTAATTCGATCTTAATTTTAGTCGAAAAGTATTTGTTTTTTTGGACGAATTCTAGTCAAAAAGCATTTGGCTTGGGCCTAAATTACGATCTTTAAATCGGCATGTTGTCATTCTCTTCTAAGTCACGAAATAAAATACATCCGGACACCATAATTCGAAAATCAGTAAGGAATATTCAATTTACTCGGACGAGCGTGGACTTGAGAGGGTTATAATTTTAGGTATTTTGCTCTGGGTAGGATTATAAGCCAAACCTACCCGCACCTTAAACCCCTGACCCAAAGAAGAGTAAGACCCGATCCCAAAATATCCTAAATTTCTGGGTTGGGTCGAGTCAGATCACCTGGTCCTAGGCCTTTTTTGACACCCCCAGTTGGAGTTACAAATTGCAGATACAAAGTCACGGGGAACGACAAAAATGGAATCGCCGCGATGGAAAGACACTTCCGTGGCTTTCTCTGTCACCGTTTTCATCGCATCCGTCCCGTCTAAGCGGCCCCACTTTTCCGCGATCGGCGACGGCGTAACGTCCACGAACTGCTGCAAACTCTCGATCCGACGCCGCGAAAGATTCGCTACGGTAAATAGCATACGAGTGCTGCCAATCGAACCTTATTTAATCGGCGCGCGTCGGCGGTTAGGCCGAAAATCCCAAACGGCATTAGAGAAAGCGGCTTGAACCGACCACCTGGCCGTCCTACATTATTATCAAAAGCAAAAGCTTTAGGTACGAAAGAGATAATTCAATATCTTAATTACCCAAAGTGTCTTCTTCATGACAAACGTTAATTGATGGGGGTTGACCTTTTTCTCCCGGGGTTAGCTTTTTCCTATCCTCCACGTGAGACGGCGATATCTTTTTCCGTGGAAAGGGGCGATCGCTTTTTCCTCTCTTCCGAGGGACACGTGTCGAGATCCCGAGGGGCTGGGGGAGGGAGGGGACGATGTTGTTCCTTCGGGCTCGTAGATGAGAGACACGTGTCGGGGAGGGGGGGACAGGTGTTTTTGATCCGACGGTTCGCTTGGGTAGATTTTTTTTTTTTCCGATCGCTCGGCTGAGCCGGGGGGCGGGGGGGTGGCTTTTTGTCCCCGTGGGCCCCTTGAAAAGTCTCTCGGTCTTTTTTTTTTTTTTTGGAAATTCATTTATTCTATTCTACGAACTAATCGTGTTTGCTTGACACGTTTTTATCAACGTCAATTATCTTGTATCTAGGGAAAATGGGCACAAAAAGTCATTGATGGGGTCCCGAACTTTCAATCTATTTAATTGAATCTATGAATTTTGGCCAATATTTAATGTCATCCTTAAACTTTTGATTTGTTCAATATTGCCCATGAACTTTTTATACATGTTCAATTTAGTCCATGAACTATATGAAAATGCTCAATGTAGTCCCTCTTTCCATTAAAGATTTTTATATAGTTCAAAAACTACATTGAATATGTACCAAAAGTCCAGGGACCGCATTGAACAAATTAAAAGTTCAGAGACCATATTGAATATTAGGCTAAAATCGGGGGACTGCACAGAATAAATTGAAAATTCAGATAGCACGTTACATATTCGGCCAAAGTTCACGGACTATTTGTGTCAATATCCCTAAAATTTACTAGTATCAACTTTTACCGACAACGAAAATATTGAAATTATTACTAACATTTTTGAAAAATTATTGTAAATCGTTGAAAGTAACGAATCATGGAGGTTTCCGTGTACTATCACCTGTTAAAATTACCAAACATTTGATATATTAAATATATCAAAATTGATTATTGAAAATAGTAGTTATACGGACGTAGCTGACGCTTATGGAGTGTCAAATTTAAATCGCTTATAGTCTTTTCTACATCACTTCATATGTGTCATTTTGGAGTTGGATCTTAGTATATTTACAATCACACATTAAAATCTCTTCACAACGGGACCAAGAGTTGCCCTACAAAATTGCGACAACCCAAAATGCAATGCACTTTTTAGGGCATAAACACTTAATTGCGAGGATAATATGATAATTTTAAGTCCGTTTATGCAATTAGCATACAAGGCGAGAGTATATTAATTAGTTTGAATGGATCACTTAGTAGAGATGGACGTGTTATGGGACTACTTATGATAAAGCGCGCCTCCAATCTTTAGTCCACGAGGCAACAAATTTTTATCGATGCAGCTCATTTCATTACTCACAGATAACAGCGACGTGTTACTCATCAAAAAGTTACGCAGCAAGTTCACATCAAAGGGTATCGGGTTTCTTTTTCATCGATGTCGTCTAGCATGAAAACTCGGGTTATGATGATGCGCCCTCGAGAGTTCGAAAACTGACTGCAGATACTGACACGGATAGAAACACGATCGAACATGTCGAATCGAGTGATTTCGACGCCGCTCTTACCGAGTAGTACACACTACATCCCCTGACCGCCACATGATCCCAAGGTGCATCCATGGATTGGTACATTCGCCAAGCCATCTCTTTCTTCCCTTCATTTTGCTTGTTTGAGTCTCCAATATCCATCCATACAGTCATGTGGAACCAGAAGAAAATGACAAAACTGGGAGCAGCACACACTTCCTGTGCACCCCGAGGAGAGTCAAAAAAAGTAGGGGAACACAGAGACAGAGAGAGAGAGGAGAGGAGAGAGAGAGAGAGAGAGAGGGGAAAAAAGGAGGAGAAAATCTTAAAGGCCACAGAAACATGTGGCTGCAAATCGAGCCTCCGGCTGACGTGGCAACGACCCACCACTGCTGGAGTTTTAAAGAGCAGGAGGGAGGGGAGAGGGGGGATCAAAAACTCAGACGACAGAGCATCTCTGAACACAACAATAAGATTTCCTTATAGCTTGACTTTGGCGCGCGGTTTCTCTCTCAAGAAATGCAAGGAACCCACGACCCGGCCATCACGCTCTTCGGCATGAAGATCGCCGTCTCCTCCTCCGCCGCCGCCGCCGACGGCGACGGCGACGGCGCGGTTCTTGCGGCGGGGAGACCGGAGGAGAGGGAGGATGGAGGATGGGGAGGTGGAGAAGAGGAGGAGGAAGAGTACGATGAAGATGAGGGGGGAGGAGGAGGAGAAGATGCAGAGCAGGTATGCTTGGTGAACTTAAAAAGAGCTTTTTGATGATTACCCGTGTCCTCTAACAGCATAGAGATTGATGGGTCGATTTTGCTTTTTCGCGTTTTTCTCTTGGTTGCTTGCTTTGGATGCTGCTGCTCTGTCTCTGGGAGTTTCTCTGTTTCAGTATCGTTGGTTCAGGAATACAGTCAAATGTTCGCCACTGTCTTGAATTTACTGAATGTTTTCCCCATATAACGTGAAGATTTGAGCTTTTTTCTTTGGAAATATGGATTAGGAGAATTGCAGATGTGGTTCAAAATAGTTTGACTAGTTGCTTTTTGCAAAGGCCTTTTGTATATGGGGGGGGTTTTGTGTAGGAATCAATTCTTCCGCAATCTGCTAAAGGTTTCTCTCCCAGCAGCTCAACTGATCTTTGTCATTGTCCCTTTGTTTTGGTCCTAAAAGCTATGGTTTCTTGTGCAATCGGGATATCTAAACGTGAAGTACAGGGTCATTGAAGCTTGTGACCTTGTGATTCTGGAACTTTCTAAAGGTCCAGGATGATAGCGTAATACCTCCAAAGCAAAGTTTCCATAAGAACCTAAAATCAAAAGAAAAGCTTTGAAAGTTCCAATTCTTTTTGCTGATTGCCCTTCCTTCTCCTAGTTGTGGTCGCGAATTGTCTGCATACTCGGTTTATATAATAATACTACTGATCGATCTTACTATTTACGATCCTTTCTTTTCATATTAGTCCTGATTATGTTTTCACTTGTGAAAGTTCCAGAACGCTTCAGCTGAAAAGGCCTCTGACAATATGCAAGAAGAGGGTGAACCACCTCCAAATTTTCAGGAACTGAATCCCCCCGGGACTTCTCCGGATGCTGTGAACCCTATGACACCTTCTATTCACGAAGAGAGTGCGAAATCGCAAATCCCTGAGAGTGGAACACCAGAAGAGAATGGCAAGCCCAAAAATTCGCAAGAGAAAACCCTGAAGAAACCAGACAAGATCCTTCCTTGCCCGCGTTGTAACAGCATGGACACAAAATTCTGTTACTACAACAATTACAATGTCAATCAGCCCCGGCACTTCTGCAGAGCCTGCCAAAGGTACTGGACTGCGGGGGGCACTATGAGGAATGTTCCCGTGGGAGCAGGACGGCGGAAGAACAAGAACGCTGCCACACGTTATCGCCACATCACCATCTCCGAGGCTCTCCAAGCAGCGAGAGTCGATTCCCCAAATGGGGCTCAACTCCCCCATTTGAGAACCAATGGAACCGTTCTTACCTTTGGTTTGGACTCTTCTTTGTGCAATTCTCAGTCCCCCATTCCAAATATTGCCGAGAAGAAGAAAGTGTTAGATGGTTGCAAAAATGGGTTTCGGGACTTTGAAAATGGGGATGATAGCTCCACCTCTTCCTCGGTCACAATATCGAACTCCATGAATGAGAAAGGCCTAAATTTCCCACAAGAGCAAGGGACGGGAAATGTTAATGGATTTTCTACGCAGATACCTTGCCTTCCCGGTGTTCCTTGGCCTTATCCATGGAATCCCACAATTCCCTCACCCGCTTTTTTCCCTCCAGGATGTCCACCGATGTCATTTTACCCTGCAGCCTTTTGGGCTTGTGGTGTTATTCCTAATGCCTGGAACATTCCTTGTGCGTCGCCACAGTCACCCTTTTGCAACCAAAAGGCCACAATTTCTGGTCCAAATTCACCGACACTGGGAAAGCATTCAAGAGAATCTGAGCCACTTAAGTCAGATACTTCATTGGAACAAGTGGAACCCCCAAGACAGAAGAATGGTTGCGTTTTGGTTCCGAAGACTCTGCGTATAGATGATCCCAGCGAGGCCGCCAAAAGTTCAATATGGGCGGCCCTCGGTATTAAGGCCTTCGAACCAAAGTCTGGAGAAGGCAAAGTTAAAGATGCTGAAACCTCACCGCATTTGTACGCTAATCCCGCGGCATTGTCTCGTTCCCTCAATTTCCATGAGAATACTTGAAATAGCAGCTCATGACTGTAAATTGAAGAACCTTGTGGTTTTTGAGGAGCACGATTCTGTCGAAGTCACTCGAGCAACAATGGCGGAGCTTCGGGCATCATATTATTAGCCCACGAAATGGGGTGCTCATTGCTGAAGGACTTAGAAGAGATAAAGAAGATTCGATCCACAGAGCTCTTACGTGGATTAGTTTTGTGATCTTTTTAACCTTAGAAACATCTGCCGTTGCTGAACGAAGTTAGCCTGCTTTTCTTGTGTCTTGTACATTGATAGTGTCTGCAACTTGAAGCTCTGATTGTATAGGAGGAGATATGGAGATTTCCGCGACACCATAACGTCCTGAATCGTTATAAATAATTTCAGATGATTGCTTCCTTTCCCCTTTCTGTTGCCTCTTTCTCTGTAGGAAGATTGACACTTCAATAAATCTGTATTATTCTCATCTAAGCTTGTCATGCCCCAAGAGCTCCCGCCTTTTTATGGGTGAAGCATGGACCAGTGTTTATTCGAGAATGCTGTGGATACACAAAAAGTGATGCGGTAGTTTACAGTGAGAGGCTCAGAAAAAGATTAAGATTCTTCGAAATGGATAGTACTACGTAAATAGAAGTCATCATCCATTGGCTACATCAAGGATGAAGCAAAATTAATTGTGCTAAAAGAAGAGATAGACCAGATGGTGACATGTGCAGCTATCATCCAACTCCCCATTGATGGTGAACTCTTGCATATAGCAAATGATCAATATCAACTCAAATAAGTTACTTTAGTTCTTGAGCGGGTGACGTTGGGGGTTAATAATGCTCAAGACTTTCACCTTATGAAGAAATCGGAGGTTCAATCCACATGGAGGGTATTCATCAATATGAAGTCGTCACAGCTGTGGATGAATCAAGCCTAATTCATGTAATTCGTGTTCACAAGTTCGAGAATGGCCTCGCTTTTATTTGGCCAGAAAAGATGAATTCAGACAGATTCATAGGTGACCAACCTAGCAAGAAAGTAAAAAGTGAAAACTAGGAGAGGCCAAGGTCTCCTATTTAAGCTCCATGAGCGAAACAAGTTTCAGAGACAGGCATGAATAGTGACCACAAAGATAAAGATTTCTTTGATATTTTTGCAGATTTCTGTTGTTCTCTCTTGTTGTTTCCATCTTGAGACAAACACGAACCACCCAGATGGTCCTTTCTCTAACATAACGGAGCTGTGACCTGCGAGTTTGGATGAGGCCAACTTGAAATGTGTCCACCTAAATTTCTTTATGAAGCACTTTTTATAGATTGCATTGATTTTATCTCCTGGATGTGTCCCTCCTTTGCTCAGCTGCAAGAAAACACTCAGATATTTTGTTTTCTGCAAGACGATATGAGCCACAACTTGGATTTAGGCAAGGGCCCTGTTATGGATCCCAAACTCAATAAAGTTGCTCCAAATCTTTCACTTCTTTCACTTTCAATTGCTTCTTTTCTGTTGTTCTTTTGCTTAGAGATGGCCTTCTCCATCCGACCTCTCTTTAAAGGGACAGTCAGCCTTTTATGTTCTCTGCCAAGCCTAATTTCAGCTAAATCAGCACCAGAACAAGTGGTCTGATGGTGTCTCGAGCAAGCAACTTAATAAAAGTGAAAGGGAAAGAGGCTCTTGCCCTCCACATCTTTTAGCAGTTTAGCTTGCTTTGAGGGCCTCTTTTCCTCCCTCTCTTCTTTTCATTTGACTCTCTTTAGTGGAGGGATATCAAGACATTAATAAATTCTATAAGGGAAGATGGGCATCGGGAATTTCTTAGTACCGGCACTTTGACAAAAACGTCCTGTCATGGAGAACTTTTCGGAGGGAACATATATTCTAGGAGATGAGAACATGGTGCGCAAAAGTGGCACTCGGGTTGATTGGTTCTCTGGGTCAATCTTCCACTGTGCACTTATCACGTACTTCCTATTGCTCTTTGACCCATCGGAACTTGCTGAGAAGTTTGTTTTTCACATCTTTTAATCCTACTGAAACACGACTCTAAATCATTTCCACACAAACACGAGTAACTCTGAATCAGTACCATTTCGTACACTTTGACCCATCCTTGTGCAAATCCAAAAGTTCATTCCATCGTGCTGGTTTAATCTATTTTAATAATGATACGTGATGGTGCAGACCTGACGCCTGTTTCTATCCCTTAATTTTGACTCTGATATGTTTACTAGGGTCCAATTGATACATTAGGCCACAAGGTAATTGGCCCAAAAAGAGAGAATTATAAAGTCAGAGATAAAAGTATGTAATAAAGATCAAAAACTGACTTTGGGTGTCGTGCTTTGGTCAAGCACCACACAAAAGTTAGGTAAAGACGCGTGGATGGCAACGAGGCATTTGAGTTGTAGCTTTCAATGGTGCTGCCTTCTTCTCCTTTTTGGGAACACTAGGAAAATTAGTGCGTCTCAAACCCAAGAAAGAAAAAACGAGTTTGCGGATTTGAAAAGCAATCTAAAGAAAAATTGTGGATGAGAAAGGTCCTTGCTTTTCCATCTGAAAAGAAAAGGAAAAAGTGGGAAAGAAAGCGTGGATTTGTCATTTGCTTCCGTAAAAATGACACCAACGGTCCTTGAATTTTGACTCAATATATAATTTGATCCCTGAATTTTTAATTTATTCAATATAATCCTTGAACTTTAACTCAATATTCAATGTGGTCCCTGAACTTTCAATTTATTTAATATGGTCTCTGAACTTTTGGTACATGTTCAATATAGTCCCTAAATTTTATAAAAACGTTCAATATAGTCCTTCCATTAATTCAAGTTCATGGACTATATGGTACATTTTTATATAGTTCATTAACTATATTGAACATGTACCAAAAGTTCATGGATCACATTAAATAAATTAAAAATTCAGGGATCAAATTACACATTGAGCCAAAGTTCAGGAAGTGTTTGTATCATTATCCCTTTGCTTTTCACATCCCCCATGAGTCTGAAAGGTCCATCACCATGAGGTTTGATCAACGAAGAAAGATACGCCAATTGTTCAGAGCGTTAGGACGAATGGCTTCACAAGTTCAGTCGGACAAATATAAACCCTGTACAGAAGTCACCTAGACCACATCAGGCTCACAAGTCACACCAAATGCAGAATTTATTAGATATTATCGTGTGCGTGCTGCCGAATCCATCTACCGCATTATATGGAAAAGCATCTTAAAGGTTAGACCGCGTGACGTTTTTATCAAATGGGAAATTCTTTCTGTTCAAACCGAAACTGAGCTGTGAACACCCAACACTCCGTAGTATGATGCGAGTTGGGCATAATAACAATAGCAATTGCATCTGATTGCATTTCGAAGAGAATTGCAGTTTTCAAATACAGTATATACACTCCGAGGAACTTCTACAAATAAAGGATTTGGATTCCATAATCTGGAAACTCCGGCATGCTGAACATATTGGAAACCCAGTTGTGCAGGGTAGAAAGGTTTGACCAATGGTAAGGATCAGTCACTGTACTCTGCATCCACCAGAATCTTGGTCCCGGCGAACATTGCCATAAGCGGACAATTCGAGAAGATCCAGGTCACGGTCTGCAAACAGGACAACGGGCTTTAGTTACCGATCTTGATAGAGTGTCTATGCATGCGAGGGGATGCTTGCACAAGCAACAGAGGAAAGTGGATGAATTGAAATCGATCACTTCGGTCCAATTTATAAACTCTAATACAACAAAGCATACCTGAAACTCGGCAATAAGAACTTCTCCTGATGAGATCAGCTCTAGAAATCTCTGTCTGATTTCCCTTTGAACGATTTACTGTTGCCTACAATATCAAAACAATATTCAGTTTACTTCAAAGAAATGAAGCCTCTTCTCCGCCAAAAAACGCATGTGAACAGCAAGTATTCAAAAGAATGCCCATAAAGGCACTAAAGCAGAAGCCTTTTCCTTTTCGATTTCTAAAAGTGGCCAAACTTTTAAACCTGGTAATGCATTAACTACATATTGCTGCACATTGAAAAATGAACTACAAGCAAATGGATTTGCAATAACAACAACAGCTACATGTGGCACCACCTGGGAAGATCTTAAGAATATCGAATAGCCAGCCTATACATACATAAATGATCGAACATTAGCTGAATAGGTTAAAGCATCAAGAAAGAGGATAGATGCACAAACCATGCATGTGAGGTATCTCGAAGTCATCAACATATGTATTTGCATAAACAGAGAACACTGGACAACCAATTACGAAAAAGTGTAAAGGTATACAACTTTGACCTACTGTTCTATGAAACAACAATGAAGATGGCTTAAATTTCTGAAATTAGCATCTTGCCTTTCATATGTCGTAGTTAAAGTTCAGGTTTCTCCTTTCTTTCAGTCCTTCGCATCATAACCTTGAGACATGATTATTATGCTCGCTCTCGTCTTGCTAATCAATCTTATTCAAACAACTGAACTTTGTTTTCCGATGGGATGGGAGGCTATCAATCAATAAAGGATTAGGGAGTGTATTGAAAATGGTTAAAATACTGTTTCATGTTGAAAGCACAGACAGGAAGCTCTCGGTATGGCAAAGACCAGTGGCACAAGAAATGCTGCTAGATCAGGCATTTTATGAGGTCGTGACAATAGTTTAGTAATGATGTTGGAAGAGGAGACTATTGTTGGTTGGCTAATTTTGTAATAGGAGAATTGCCAAGTAATTACAACAGCTGAAAAACCTTGAAATGTTCAACGCACTTACTAATATACCATTTCCATGCTGATCAGAGTAGTTATTACACCACCAAGCAGTAAAAACATCAAACTTAAGACAGGAATCAGATGTACATGCAACAAATAGTGCCTGATAGTTATGATCTCTCACACCTCCAGGTTAAAAGCCAGTGGCTGGATGACAGATGGATCAAACATCTTGCATCATCTTCCATGAGGGTAATCACAATCGGACACTCATTACGGGAGGATTCCTGGAATTCTAGTAAACTGCTCGTCTTCCTCTTATTTTCCTCCCTTTTTTGATAAGTAGAATTACAAGTAAATTTCCACACAATTATAGCAAAAATCAAGAGATATCATACAAACTTTCGATCATTTATAATTAGCGAAGTATTTGCGGCCAACTTACGAGGAAGCAATGAGAACATACTAACCACAAAATCTTCAAACCTTTTACACTCAAAAGTAGAATGAAAAGGAAAAAAGAAAAAGAAAATCACAAGTGCCGCAGAACTGAACTGACATTAAAAGTGAAATCATGTGCTGAAGCATGAAACAAAAAAGTCATGCACATTTGTATGTATTATCCCATCCATAGGTCTCCACTTTTTGTCCAAAAAGTGCTTAGCCATAAAAAGATATAATAGAGACAGGATCGATGAAACTCCTACCTGTAAAACCTGGCAATTTTCCAACGTGCTCTTCCCTCCCTGCAAATTGGAGGAAAGTCTTATTAATCCCAAGTCGAAGACAAAAATGATTTAAAAGGAACAGCATAAGTCTAGCCATAGAACTGCCAAAGGATATTAAATATCAAGAAACCTAGGCAGCATTTGATGATCTGAACCACATGCATGAAAAAAGTAGAAACATGATTGCAAAGAGACTATGTAGAAGGTAAAGGAGCACTTTACTGTACAAGGAGGAGGCTATTACACTAAACATTTCAGTCACTTGTTCTTTTGGCCAAAAGTTCAAAGTCACTAGTTAACAGACGCAAAATCCTGGTGGCTACATGAACAAACTGGTAATCCATATACTGCACAAGTAACTTACAGAAAATAAGGACAGTTTCATTACTTCAGATAATACAGGCCCATCAATGTGAACATTCTCAAAGTTGAGAGATAGAGAAGGGTTCGGAACTCCTGGCAAACGAAGACATCAGCAAAAGGAAATATCACAAATTAAGAGAGGTGACAGAAAGGCCGTAGTAAAAACCATTGCCAAGATCTTTCCTTTACTAGAGGGTAAATTCCAAGACTTCTTACTGATCACAGAGCCATCCATGTACATGGTATCTTCAAATTTCAATATGTTTAATGAAACTCACCCAACCTTTGTTTAACAAAGAACCAATTCCTTGAACATTACTCTTAAGTATGATACAGAAGTTTTACTCTCTTACCACGGTTTTAGGAAGAAAATAATGAAGGGTGGAACCGCGTTCAATTTCACTGATCAAAAGTTTGATACAGACATTGGAAAAATATGTGTCCCAATGCATCATTTTACGCTACACTCAGCTTGTGGATCCACCCCACCTCAATCTGAATACCCTCCCACTCCCATAAAAGCCACCTTCAAATTGACAGAAAACTCATCCTCATCTCAATTCAAGCTAACTTAACCCTCAAACAATAATTAAAGACAAGATCCTGCCTCCAAGAAATACACACGAAACCAGCCCTTTTTACTTTTCCCAGCCACAAAATACAAAGCATACCGCAACTACATAGAGCCTTCGCTCTGGTCCAGACACATACAAAAGACCACGTGACAGTCAAAAACCGGTGCCTCGAAATTATTCTCAGTATCAAGAACAAAAATTGGGTAGAGTTTCTTATTAGTGAAAATTACGTCATTTTTCAGTGAGGATAAGTTTTAAAAGAGAATATGAAGTTAGTTCTAGGTTAGTCTCCAATCTACACATTCAACATAGCTTCTGCTCCAAATACAATCGAAAAAATAAATAAATGGGGGAGCACTTCATGAAATTTGCTTCTATGAGTTTAGCGAGCAATCAAAAAGTAGCAATGGCATATCCAATCGTGGGAGGAAAAAAAGGCGGCCAACACAAGCATCTTCCGACATTTTCCACTGAAAATGAAGTCCGAAGAATGAACGACAACCAAAGTGGCCCTGAAGTTGCAGTTGCTTCGTTGGGCAGATTTATCTTCCAGAACAGTACGCAACGCAAGTAAAGAAGTGTTCTTGATACGTCTCTCTGTTTCACCTACAATCAAGAACCTCCGCTACCTAAACAAGGCATCAAATTCACCCAAAAATTTCACTCCAAGGACGACGTAAAACTACCCCGAGAAGTCCAATCATCGTCAAACCATCGCAATCCTCAAGCCACAACCCAAAATCTCCAAACATGGTCCCAGACAAGAAAAAAGACGGGAACTTTTATCGAATCCACGTACCTTAGAGTAAGGCACGATGTGGTCGTAATCGTGGCAGAGACACCCAGGGCAGCCGACGAGCTTGCGGAACACGATGTTCCCGACGGCGTCGCGGCGCCACCTGTCGGGATCGCGGCCCTTGACCTTCTCGGCCTTGTCCCAGCACTGCTGCTTCACGACGTAAGGGAAGCTCCTGGGGTTCGGATTGGGGCTCGGTGGGGCCGTCGCGGCTTCGTCGAGCGAGATTTGGAGGCTCTGCAAGAGGAAGGAGGAGGTGTCCTGGAGAGTCTCGAGCTCTTGGTCGATGAGGGAGGTGGAGGGGGTGAAAGGGCGGTGAGACGAAGGCAATGCGGCGGCGGCGGCGATGGGGGCGGCGCGTGGCGGGGACGGCGGGGACTGGGCGGCGGCGCGAGGCCTGCGCTTCGAGTGCTTCTTGTTCGGGAACATCTCCGTTTGCTGTTTTTTCGGATGAAACGAGGCAAGGCGCGAGAGTGGTCGAAGGAAGGTCCCCTGTTTCTTCTCTTCTCTTTTGGGGCCGTGCTTCACGTGATCCAAATTGAAGTGAAACCACACAGAGTCTTAGAAGGATAATTTGGACAACATATTGCGACATCTCGTCTAGTTTGGCAAAGTTTGATCCAGATTACTTCCCGATACTAAGTTTTTCTTGTCGGGTACTGGAAAAAATGCATGGATATCGAAAATTCCATCGCCTGATTGGCTTATAGTTTGGAATTTTTTTTATATTAATTTGGAGCTAATGTCGTGACCCGAAAAGAAGACCGAAAGGTAGGAAAACGATTTGGCTCCTACATGAAGGTGCCTTTGCAACTTTCGAGGAACCGTGTCTCTAGAGCCTGTACCCATGGGGATCACATAGAGCAATGGATCTCAAACATGAAGAGAAAAACACTTGCGAGCTCGCTCTTGTCCGGGCAGAGAGATAAAGTTGGAGTTTTTTTGAACGTCACAGACACTTTCGAGGAGAATCACAAAGAATTTGATGCGTCATGACCGGGATTGATCCCTGAAGGATCGCAGAAGGGCCCCGTTCTTAGTGAAAAGTGACCTGGAGCTAGGACAGGCAATGAACTTCCTGGAAAAGCAAAACAGACCCGACTTTACTCCCTTTGCTCGGCATACACACCAAGTCCACCCTCAAGTCTTAGTCCGACCCTCTTGTGAAGGCAAAGGCTTAAAGAATCCCATTAAAGTATTCTGTCAATTCCACTTTCACAGGGAATTGGCCGGCACTCGAAGCCGAAATCTGCGGCAAGGACAATTGGGTGTTTCCACGCACACAGACACAAAAAGTTCACAACGTTCTGAGTTTCAATTGGGAAGAAACTACGGGGAGAATTGATTGAAACACACCAGAAGACCAGCACAACGTGTTCTGCAGTTCGAGCCGGTAAAATACCAGGAAACTCTTGGTGGGCATCATCAAGAACGAGATTAAAGAGAGCGCAATGAATTGTAGGACAGGGGAAAACGTAAAAAAAAAACTGTCACTTTGTTGGAATCTGTGTGGAGAAGGAAGCACATTTTCTTCACAATTTCCCTGAGGAATCGGCTCAAGTCTCTCCTCTCTTTTTTTTTTTGGTCGTACAAGTCTCTCTTTTAGCTCACTACATATACTGGTAGCAATTGGTGTTCAAACCGCGGCATCCCCAATTTGAAGTCTATCTTTATTCTTGTTTCTTCTGTCTCTACAGGTTTTGCTCTTATCCTAATTGCCAAGTCTCTACAGGTTGTGCTCTTATCCTAATTGCCAGGTTACAATGGTGCAAGCACTGGAAATAAAATCTAATATTGTCTTCTCCCATATTGCCATGATCATAGAACTAGTGACACTAGACTTAGTGACATTACTTCATAAGTTGTACTTGGACTTCAGACGCTTAGTCAAAATCGTGTGGGATGTATATTCAATAGTGAGTAAGTGTTTCGGACATGGTAGGAACCGAAATGCGGAGGTTCAAACTCATCAAGCTCCGAGCGCTCCAATCTATGCGATTCGTGATACAGTGGACAACATGGAGCTGTCGAGGCCGGAATTGGAAACCGTGATGGCAAAGCTGGGGATCTTCGGGAACCCGCGTGGCGACGACCACGACGAGTTTCAAGAGAGAATAGGGGTCAGGGAAATTGCGGCTCTTTTTGAGGAGGAAGGGCCAAGGCTGGAGGAAGTGAAGGAGGCATTCTATGTGTTCGATGGGAACTGTGATGGGTACATTGATGCCCGAGAGCTGGCCGATGTCCTCCATAAGTTGGGCCTTGTACAGCTCTGCGAGGTCGATTGCAGGAGCTTGATTCAGGCCTTTGATGACAATGGGGATGGATTGATTGATTTCAGAGAGTTCACAAAACTAGTACAGAAGAGATTCTCTTAATGATCAAACAGGAGGAACTGGCCTAAATGCCAGAAGGGAGATCTGCTCGTGGTGAAGCAGCTCTTCGGTCACTGAACGGTCCATGACCAACCCTTCTAAATACATTCTGAAATGATTTTCTATATCTATATCTATGTTACTTTGTAGTACCACAATTGGCCTCACTAATCAAGTGGGGTTGTCTGATGTTGAGATGAAGCAAATCTACTCATGAGGTTGAGGGTTTTCACTTCCATTCCATGTCTGTGTAACTTTACATATAGTCTGTCCATCAAACCAAAAAAAAAAAAAAACCTCTATACGTTTTCTAAAGCTATGTTTGGTCTTCTAGATTTTTAACTAGGATAGAATTGGATAGAATAGGGATATGAAATTCAAGAATTTTGTTATATCCTATTTACTGTTTTGTGAATTGCAGTAATAAAACCGGATATTTTCATATCCTAACATGTTCATTGTTTGGTAGGAACTGTATATCAGTGTAAATAAACCATAAATGCACAAATTGAGATTATAAGAATCTCTCACAATTCACTGCTAAAGAAACCTTAAATGCATAAATGGAGACAACCTTCGGCAATCAATCCATTGTACGATCTAAACCTTAAAGAGTAAAGTAACTCATTGCAACATTGTAGAGGCGCATATTCAATTATGATAAGAAATGTAAATGGATTACAGCGACATCGACGAAATAAAGTGCCAAATCTAGTAAAAGTGAGAGTATGATTGTTCACCTCTGCGATTCAGACAAGTATAGTGCTTTTGAATTTCTCGCCGCTTTTGTAAAGTTTCAATGCGAACTAGAGAGTTACAGAAGAGAAAGAGTTATGACTCTCTTGCTGCTTTTGTAAACCTTCAAGGTGAACTAGAGAGCTCGGAGGAAAAAGAGTTACGAAGGTGAAGGAGGATGAGAGTGTGTGGTTTTTTTTTTTTTTTTTTTAAATCTCCTTGCCTCTCATTTTTCGAGAATTGGAAAGATCATTTTTCAAATTTGAATTTGTTCATTTGAAATATGGGTTCTTTTACTTCATTTTTATTTACACATATATTTTTATTTTTCCCTCTCTTTTTATTTCTTTTTTTATGCCATTCCATCATTCTTTAATAAAATTTTTATTAAATAATAAACTATACTAATATACCTAAAATATTTAATAAATATAGATAATATATACAGATTATATATTCTAGAATAGAAAGAAATATAAATAGGAATAACTAAAATGAAATTTTTTGTTATTTTTGTTTTGTTATTTTAATATTTCTTTTTTATATTATAATTTAAATATTATTTTTATTTAATTACTATTTGAATTTTATTAGTTTAAGAAGTTTGTTATTTAAGAAAAATAACTTTTATACCATTAACATAAGAAATCCTATCTATCTTTATCCATACTGATATTTTTGATCGGGCTATAGTCTTTTCATATCTAGAGTTATCCTGTCTTGGACAAAAAACCAAGTACAGGACTTTTATCCAGCTTAAGCTTGAACATAATATTTTCAGAAGGGTTGAGTCGGGCTTCATAGATAAAATTTCTTTGTTCGACTCCGTCTAAATCTATCTTAATCCGGATCGAATCTTACCCGACTCGCGCTTGCTAGTTCCATGATCAGATCTATTTGTTTAATAATTTCTTTGGGCGCTTTTTATAAATGGGTAATTGCGATGACTCCCATAGATATTCATGAAGTTGCTGTTGCACCCTCAGCTGGTGTCCTGATCAGCAAATATTAAATTGGGAAAGTGATTGGTTGGGGGCACTATGACACTATCCACTTTTTTGCACAACCCTAACACAACATCGTTTCGCGTGGGCCACTTCAATGCCTGGCCTCATGTGCCATCCGCGTCGGATCCACGGCATCTGATAGATCTACCATGATAGGAGGAGGCATTCATGCGCCGGTGGGAAAGTGTTAAAAAGAAGTTGCAAGTTAGAGCCTACCTCCTCCTGCCACCAGTGGGAAAGTGCACTCCAAATTTTCACTATATGAAGAGCCTTCGATGCGGTTCTCAATCCAATGGTTGCTTCGTGATGCGATGGATATGACCAATTTCGATATGTGCCGAGTCAAAATGCATGCAAATTGATCTGTTTCGGAGGAGGTCATAAGATGAGTCTTATGGTACTATTGGAGTGGAAATGAGCTTTGCTTTGTGACAAATGTATGATCCGGAAAGAGAAGCTTGTCGGCCTCAACCACCGCTTTGATTGCCAATCTGCCCAATGTACCATCAGCTGTCATTCTCAAAGTCAAGAACCCAGAAAGATCCAAATTCAAGAACCATTCCAATCCTGTGGGTGCCATAACCTGCGTGAGCTGGAATGATTTAGCTTCTCGATCTTACAACTGTCGCCGAAACAGAGGTCGACCCAGAAAATTAGAGACCCGGATAATTAAAGCTTTTCAATCGAGAAATTAATCAAGAAATCCATTCAACTACTGCATTGATGGAAGCTGCCGATCTTCCAATAATGTTCTACAACAACACTAACCCCACCATCTATTGTGAAGGTTGCCAGAGTGTGACAAAATGGTTTGTCTTGCCAATCACGGATCAGATCAAAATCAATTCTTGATCTGAACCTCATCCTTATCCAGATAAACAAATATCAAATCCCGAGATCGAACTGACAAACAAAAACAAAGCAGGGCTCGATGACAAAAAAGAACACGAGCCCTCTTTATGGAAGAGACCCAACGATGATAAAGATATTTACAATGACAACCTACAATTACTAAAAATCAATCTTGGGCTGCTCAACTCACAGCAACACTTCAATCACCTAAGCACCATCTTTCTAATTTGAATCTGAGAAGCATCCTTCAAACTATTATCAAGGGACTCTTGTCTTCAGTTTCCATCCTGGTGACTGCTCTCTTCTCAGATCCACTCTTCTCTAAGCTAGTCATGACCATGTTTCCCGTCGGAACCGGCAACCGCCGCAGATCTCTCGGTATTTCGCCGAACTCGGCTAGTTTCACGAGTTCAGAATCATCCAAACCTTTTGCTGGACCGATGCTACATCGCTCGACCCCGTACTTCGCCATTGCGTCTTTGAATTTCTTGATCTGTGAATCAGAGGTTACAATTCATAAACAAGCTGATCCTCCGAGACTTTTAACTCGGGCAAGTCGATATAGGATCGAATGTATAGCTGACTTACAGTTGCATTAGTGCAGCTGAAGCTGCATAGGCGGCCTTCCGAGCCCCTGTAAAATCTAAAGAATGGAAGGACATGGATGTGGAGGCACTGGCACATGGTTCTCAGTTCTTCGTAATTAACTTTAAGAAAGATTGCGCCCGGATTCGACTCCGCCAGCTGACATATCTGATCAATAATCACGGAAAAAGAACCTTACTTATTGAATTATCCAAACAATTTCGAAGGAATTTCATTCTGTCTGAAAATGAACGAGCCTAACGCTGCTCATAACTGACACATAGCACTCCTGCTCAAAAAAAAAAATTTAAAAAAAAAGGGCAAAAACAAAATAAATAAAAAAAATTAGCCCTCATCAGAATCGGTACCTTGGGGTGAAGAGCTTTGCAACCACCACAACCAGGTGAATAGAAATCAACCACAACCAATCGATCACCAGCATTCAACAAAGAATCGACAAGTTCTTGAGCAGAATTGATCTCTACCATGTTGGGTTGAAGGGTCTTCTCCCACCATCTCATAGCTCTGCTTACACAAATCGATGCCTGTGCCTAGACAAACAAAAGAAACAAGCAAGATGTTCTTTTTCATTACGATTGAACCACAAAATGCAGGACCTCAAACGTCACATCAAAATAACAGAATTTGATTCGAAGAGATGATCCACATACACGCAAAGAGAAGCCAGAAGGTGCTTTCACGCTCCAATCACCTAGAGCCCTTTTATCTGAGAGAACCAGCTGCTTCCCCATGAAATCGATCCTCAAAGCAGGGAACTTTGTTTTCTCGGATTCTCCAAAAGACAGAGAACCAGAAGAGGAAGGAAGCCCAACAGCCCCTTTGGCTTTCGAGCCAACAACAAGAGCCCCATTCAACCCAGAAATGTTTGTCCCAACCTTACCAAAACAGGACATGATTGCACAAAAAAGAAAAGATCAGGGACTTTGGAGGAACTAAGGAACAAAACCCAAAACCCCTTGGAGGGCAAGGAAAATGGGAATCTCGGGAAAGAAAGGAAAAAAAACAGAGGAGAAAAGCTAAAGAAGAGAAGAGAATGACCCCCTTTCTGTGGATTCTTGAGAGACAAGCTTTTGAATTCAAAAGAACAAAAAGCAAGAAAAGGTCTCTTTTTGACTGGGAAAAAACTGTCTTTTTGGCTCATAAACTTTCAATGGCAAGCGAAAACAGAGAAGAAGAGAAGAAGAAGGAGAAGCAACCGAAGAAGCCAGAATGGTTCTTGAAAGGGTCTGCGGAAGGATTTAGGTTTGAACGTTTTGTGATCCTTAATTATCATTTTCTTTATTCAGTTGGTTCTGGATAAGGGCATGATTGGTAACTAGCCAAATAGTGCCCGATTCTATTCTTTTGTTCCCGAAAAAAAAAAAGAAGAACATAAATTAATTTGGTAAATTTTTTTGTTCCCGGGCACAAATTTGTTCCCAGAATTAATTTTGGAATAGAATCAAGAATAAAAAAAAAGTTGATTCTTGATTCTGGAACTAGGATCAGAAATGGAAAAAAAATTCTTCTTCTTCTTTCTTCTTCTTCTTCTTCGATGGCCGGCAATTGGCCATAGGCCACGGCCAGTGAGGGTATCGTGGCCCTCGCCGGCGAGGGTGAGGGCTGGACCCTCGCCGTCGGGCAGCCCTCACCCAGGCGACAAGGGTCCAGCCCTCGCCAGATCCGTCGACCCTCGCCGGCGACCTGGCCATGGGCCAAGGAAGGAAAAGAAAAAAAAAAGGAAAAAAAAGAGAAATAAATATTAAAATATTTAAAATATTATTAATAAAAAGAAATTTTGTGCAGTTACTAAACACATTTCTGTTATTTTTCTATTCCAGGAATACAGATTTTGAGCAGTTACCAAATGCTTTCAAATGCTTAGAAATTATTTTCGGGAGTGGAATAAAAAAAAATCATTTATGAGCAGAAATTGTTTCCGGAAACGGAATGGTTACCAAACACACCATAAGAATACTCTGACTCGTTTGAGTCATATCTCATGTGTCAAGTTGACCGGTTTTGAGGGATTTCAAGGTTCTCGTTTTCCGTGATAATTATCTTTTTCGGTTTTGTAATTATGATATGGATTAATACCACGAAAAACTTTAAATTTGTACATATATCACAAATTTATCTCAAATTAATTTTTTACCATGAACAACTTCAAACTGGTACACATGTGATAAATTTACCATAAAAAATCCCAAACTATAATATTTGTGACAAATTTACCTTCGGTTAAAATGAATTAATACCATAGAAAATCACAAACTAATACACAAGAAACCCCAAACTGGTACACCCATCAACTGCCACGTGTCATCTAACTCAAAAAATTAAGAGGGTAAATTTGTCACAGGTGTATAAGTTTAGTTTTGGATAAATGTATTACGGACGTACCAATTTGAGATTTTTTATGGTATCAATATGAAGTTGTCAAGGCACCCTAATTTTGACTTTTGGATTTTAGGTATTAATATTATATCCAAAATTCAACCTTTTTTGTTATATTTTCCAAGTCAATGCATGTTTGAATGTTCTGCTTTGCCAAAGAAAATGGGTATATAATATTTTGCTCAAAAACCTTTTGTTATATTAGGGGGGGGAGCGAAATCCCTATTTTTTAGGTATTATTTCATTATTTTTCTTCTTGAAATACCATTAATAAAGCATAGTATATACGTGATGAAATATGTTAACGAGTGCTCCAAAGTTACTAGTTAGGTCTTATTTATTGTCCGTTTAAAAACTAATAATTTGCTGTTTAAAGTAAGTGACTATATTAAAATGTATAATTCTTCAATTTTAAATCGACCTCGAAAATTGTTATTCTCACTTTTAGTTAAATTAACTAGTGCCCTAGGGGCATAAACTTAATTTTCTAAATAGCAACATTTACTATTTCCATCACTATCTATCTCCTTATCCATTTCAAAATTTCGTTTTTGTATATTGATCACCTTTTCCTAATCCCATTTTCCAATTATTAGAATGTGATCCTTAAATATCCGTAACTCGTGTCGGTACACGTTAATATAAATGTAAATAGGAAAGAAATTTCATGATATAAATATATTGAAATGGATAAGGACTATTTGAGGTATCTTAATCTTAGATCAGATAAGAAAATGGACAAGTTAATCCATAAATTACCCGAACTTATTTGATTTGAAATGCATTACCGAACATCATACAAGATAATATTGTTCATCTTTATCCATTTTAGGCCATCGAATAAGATCCTAATTGGATAAGGGTAACCCTTAGCTGTTGCTTTCTCGGGCTCTTTTGATGAAGATTTCCTTTTTCTTTTTTGGGTCCTTTTCTTTCTATTCTTTCTTTTTTACCTCCTAAGAAAATCACATGAACATTGACTCCCTAATACCCTAAAAAATCCCAAACTTTAAGTTCAGTCCTAATTCTAGCACAAACTTTTGTTTTTGTCTCATAGAAAATCACTGACTTTTACTCGAGTCCCAAATCTGCCCCCGATAACCCTCCGTCCAAGATTTTTGGTCGACAATCGAGAAATGGAAAACTCTTGGACGCGAGCTGTTCAAGCGTCCGGAGCCAAGTGTTCCGAGTGCAAGCTCCTCGATAGCGAGAGATAGAAGACTCTCGAGCTCAAGAGATTGAAGACTAAGCGCAAAATCAAGAATTCTCAAGCGAGATGGAAGGAACTCTATCTTAAGAGTACGAGCAATTGAAGAAAACCAACCCTAATTACTCTTGTTTTTAGCAAATTTTAGATCCAAGAATACGTCATTTGGGTTGACGTGGAAATTCATCGCCAAAAAACATATCTTTGGATCGGAAATTCGGGGAAAAACTAGAGCAATGACGCGGAAATACCACATAGGATCACTAAAAGAGTGATTTTGGATGGAGGGTTAGCGAGGCGAGATAAAAAAAAGTTTAGGGTAGAATTGTGACCGGATCTAAAGTTGAAAATTTTTTATGAGATAAAAAAAATTGGGAAAGAATTGAAAGTAATGCTAAAACATTGAGATTTTTTTAGGGTATTAGGCCGAAGATTAACTGTTCGAGTTCAACAGGACGGTGACCGGATCACAAATGATTCTGTTCTTTCTCAGACATTATAGTACGCCCCACGAGGATGCTTCGTGCTTGGTGCGATGCTTTGGAACGTCTGGCGGATCGCAGTGAATTTGATAATCCAAGTATTATTTCGATGCAGGTCACCCAATGCACGAAACTATATATCTCAACGGAGATATTTGTCGATTTTCTTTTCTCTTTTCGTTTTGTTTTTGGCCTTTTGATAGGCTTTGGTCACGGATTTCTTGGTTCTGCCATTGATCCCTGCTTGCCTCCAAAAATGTTTCATTTACAGTAAAGACTAACAGAGGGCCAAAAGGAAGTTGCTTTTCGAAGCTTGTTTATCAATGCAGTTATACCTCTCAAACAAGAAGGTCCACAGAGGAAAGAAAAGAACAAGAAAAATGAGAATCGATGGATATTGCGATAAAACTCGGAAGAACGACTCTGCAATCTTATCTCCGAACTTTCAATCAACTTCGGCCCTTGAATTGTTTGTTCTTGAAGTGCCATGAATGTTATTGGGAGTGATTCTGGATAGAAAAGTATGGAGGGTTGTGTAGTGACAAACTTGGGAAGCATCTGTCTCAAAGCCATGGGAACATCTGTCTACTCTTATCCTCCTAAGACGAGAGTCCAAAGGGCTTTGGCACTTCTTTATTATCTTTGTCAATGTCCCCTTCTGTTTTTCTTTCATTTTTCTTGTCCCCACGATCCTCAGTCTCCACATCACATTCATTTACATACTGACAATGGAGGATCTGATCTATTTCTGCGTATAGCATCGGACCAGATTGGCTGATTTTCAACTAAAATGAACCAACTTTTTTTTTCGATAAAAAAAAAAAGAGAACGAACTTTCTTCTTTTTCCATCGACATTTTTCTTTCGACATTTTCAATCTTCACAACATTTTGTCTATTCTTTTGTTAATTCCGAAAAAGAATTCGATTTCATCTGGTGAAATCGGAAACCGACCGCATGGACAGAAAAATAAAAGCTAAGCTGGACTCTTTCATTCTCTATCAATGATTATTACTGTGCTTCCTCAGCAATCTATATATGCATACCAATGTTGAAAGAATCTGATTTGATCCGGTAAAATCGGAAACTGACCGCATGGACAGAAAAATAAAAACTAAGATGGACTCTTTTATTCTCTATCAATGGTTATTACTTTGCTTCCTCAGCAATCTATATATGCATACCAATGTTGAAAGTATCACTCGCCGAAAGATGGACAAAGGATCATCTCTTTGAAACCAGAGACTAAGCAATAAAGCATATGCTTTTCAATGAGTACTTCCTCAAGCCTGGTCATTTACCTTTCGCAACTGAACGGTAGCAAGGTCACCATGCTCATGATCACATTCATTTTAAAACCGGAGAAGAAGAGAAAGGAAAGTAGTCCTACAACAAGAAGCCCATCAGCAACCCCCTGCTCAGCACCTGCATAAGTGAGTCAAAACCATGGTGCTGTAAATGTAGCCTAGTTGTATGAATATTCTATATGGTGCAATCTTTTTAATCATATGCCAGGCCGCCATAGATTTCTTCATTCTACCCAAGTCTAAAACTTTTGAGATTAGCTATGTTGTTATGAATATTAGAAAATGACATCCAATACTGTTACTGTGAATATGATAATCTGCTGGTACGTGAGGGCAAATTTGAAGGTGGAAGGTACAGTACCAGAGGGGTCAAGTTGCACTGTGCAATTGAATTTCAGAAACACTTCACTTGAACTTACTTTTCGTTTCCTTCTCTTCGTACTAAACTCACACTCACAAGAATTCATCAGAAGTTCTTGCTGAAGCTTAGTTTACAGTCCGTCCCCAAGCCTCAAGTTAAAGCTCAGCCCTTACTCGAAACTCAAGAAATCAGAACTTTTGTCCAGGCTGTTAGATAATTGAACTTTATTATCTATGTCGCCAGTTTAATTGTTGCTAGATGGTTGCTTGTAGATGTACATATTATTCCATCTTGTGTTTTCTCAGTCCCCATATCTCATTTCTTTAATCTGTTACCCCGCTGCTGATCATGATCTTTGTAGTATACTCATTGATCATCCAAAGACTGAACAATATATACAATGATATCTGCAAGGTGTGAATTTAATAGGAATCACTATGACTGGAGTTGGAGTATGTTATATAATGGGAAACTCAGATTACAACCTCCTATTTTCTTCCGGCTTCTTCCAGCTCTCGAAGCCCTCCTACTTTTTGTTCGATCTCCTCGATCAGCTCCTCGCGCCATAGCTCCGCTCTAGCTGATTCTTCGATGTCTTCTTGCTGCACAGCACAAAATTCAGTGAGTAAAAATGTTTCACTCGGCTCCTCCAATGAAGGGGACAATGAACCTGTCTAGATCTGAACATGCGGTAACTTAATACCAAATCTCAGATTGAAGACGACCAATCTTACTGCAATTGAAGTAATAAAATCCAGGGACCCTCAAAAGGAAACAGAGGTCAATTCTCTCTATCCCTATTTAACACTTGACCACACTGGAAATGCATGCTCCTTCACTAATTGGTCATCATTCGACTGGCAAATCATGCGAGAGAAACCAATGCTGTACTAGTCAAGGTAAAGATTGTTCTAATCTGGATTATAAATAATCCTTCAAATGCTATTAGTCTTTTGCACTCCTGATCCGATGCTATTGCCCTTCTGAGTTGCAGACATAATGGCCTTTTCTTGATTACTCCAAGCATGTCTAATCGAAAGTTCATTTTTCAGCTTCCTCTTGTTCTCAGATGTGGAACATTGGAAAAAAGAAGGAACCTTTTCTGTTACCATATTAAGTAGGCAAGTTTTGAGCTAGAAAGAAAGTAATCAATCGAGATCAACGGTTAAAGAGTAGCACACCTTCTCATAAAGCCAGTGACCAGTACCATCTCCTCCATCTTTCCTGTATACTTCCGAATCATAGTATGGATCCTAAAAAAATCTCCCCCATGTCAGACGTGGATGTCAAAACTTACAGCATCAGAAAAGAGAAAAAGAGAAATTCTACTTATAGAGTATCTTACTTTTGTGGAGCCGAAGAACAAGCATCCCCAACAAGTGAACATGATGTAGAAAGTATCTGCAAAATCAACGGCAATAAGGAACATATGTAGAAGTGAAGTACGCCATAGCTTCATGATGACATGAACAATGAGATAAGATAATACATTAGTTGAACTTGAACTTGAATGACCCATAAATACTCACAAACACTCTTCAGGGCATTGTCACTAAGGTGCCATATTGACTTGTTGCTAATGAATTCCCTCTGGCCTTCAACCTGCTCGACTAAAACCGCCATCAGAGTCCAATCTGGGAAGGCATTCACTTTACACAGAGAGGCCCTTTTGCTCTTCCTCATTTCAAGCTTCAAGTTCAAGACCCACAAATACTTCAGAACAATGAAGAAATCACCTAAATCCGGATCACCCAGATGGCCAATTTCACTAAAGTCACAAACTTTACGTCCCAACTCAATCACCGAGAAATCGAAACCCAGAAAATATCTGAAAACTTTGGCATATAATTTCCAGATATCGAAAGGTAAACAACATACCAGTCTCGAAGATGGGTTCATGTCCAATCTTCTCTTTGGGACGTGACGGTGAAGGTGCGTCGGTTTGGTGATGGTGAAGCCCCTTATTGCATCCGCCATCTTTAAATTTTCCCTCTAGAATCCAGAAGAGTGAAGACGTATCGTTTCTATGTCCTCTTATCTCAAGCCTTGCACCTTACGGTGTCCGGGAGAATATGGATAAGGAGACCATTTGCGTCCACCCTTCAAAACAACAGGAGGATCAACGGATACATAACTATTTTAATTATTAAATAGACTTTATCAGACATGTAAGGCAACAAGGCCTATTAGCTCAGTTGGTTAGAGCGTCGTGCTAATAACGCGAAGGTCGCAGGTTCGAGACCTGCATGGGCCAACTTACCATCTCTTTTTTATTTCATAATCTATCTTTTTATTGCCCCATTTGTTCCTTTTCTACGAGCCATGTTTTGTCTTGACAAGGAGTAGGTCCAAGGAGCCAATTAATGTTGGTCTTGATGGACATCGAAAATTGATTATTAATTTTTTTTATGGGGGTTCAAATTCACATTGAAATGCGCGCGCGCGCGCGCACACACACACACACACATATATATATATATATATATATATATATATATATATATATATATATATATATATATATAGACAGGAACTTATACAGCATAACATGTTAAGTGACAACAAGATCAAGAGGAAAGCTGCCAATTTACATCTTAATCCTTGGTAAATTTATTTTTCTCGATCAGTAAATTAGCTTAAAGTTTTATTGCTGAATCCTGAAAAGATGAAGGGTACTAACTAGTCCCTACTCCAAAGCCCACATTTAACCTGAGTGACTTTCTCAATCAAAGGGTTGCATTCCTTGTCACTCGATCTCCCTTAATCAGGAAGACCAACACATTTGATTTATCAAAGAGAAGAAGAGAGGAAGTTACTATGCCTAGCATAGTTTGTGCGTCGATTCAATCCACGGACCAAAGCGGATTGGCTGCTGCGACAGACAAAAACGAAATCGAGTGAAATGGTAAAGCGAGAACAAGAAGCAGCGGAGGAAACTTCAGGAGGGCTCATGGTCCTGAGATGCCTCAAAGTCAAGTCTTCAGGGATGGGGTCTACTAGACACCTTCCTGAAATATTAGTGTACTTAGTTCAAGCAATTTCTAACTTCATTTCTTTCTGCTCTGTTTTTTGTTTCGTGACCTCTTTCTACTCGAGCTCCGATCCAGAAATTGCACAGCACATGAAGTTGCCGTCTCACAGAATCTTATGTCATCGGACAATTGAAATCTCGTGTCTCTCTGCCTTAAAACCGCTCAAAAACTTCACAAAATGCTTAACTTTGTATGCAACATCAAGAACATCTTCGCAACTTCCACATGTGCGATAAACAATATCTTATTAGGAATCGATTTCTTACATTTTATGGGTAATGTGCCACTACAAAAGATGATAAATTACAATTAGATCTTCATTGGGGTCAACAACATCAAATAAAAGAAAATTGGTAGGTTGCAGGTGGCTGCTGGGTATAATATAGAAAACAAAGCAGAAGGGGGTAAAAAAAACAGTAAGATAAAGATCAAGCACCAGAAAAATCCATTCTTTTTGGGGCAACCTTGTTGGAAGGTTCTTGGCCAGCTCATTTCCTGGAATATTCTTTCATCTGGTCGTGAAACTCTATTTTATTACCGTTCACACTGCTTTTCTGTGTCGAGACTATGCAACTTTACAGAGAACAAAACAGTGGCACCAAATCCAGATTTGAATTTTGCTCCGTCCAAGGTATGAGTATTTCACGTCACTCGCCAAATTGTCTGGCATGAATGTCTGCAGTTGCATTGCTCTTTGCAAACAACCACGTAGTGGGAACGCAAACCCACGTCACATGTTGACCATATTGCTCGATTTAACCTTCCTCATGGAAAAGGGTATCGTAAAAATCATTTTTTTACGGATGATCAGTCATTTTTACAGCAGGGGTTTTTGGAAACTTGGAAGAGCAGCAGTGCAGCAAAGTCTGGTCAACAATAAATCCATGGTGCTTTGTCCACTGACTGTAGATGCTTGAGTTTTACTCAGTCTAAGACGTTATGGTTTGCTTCGTTAATCGCTATTCTCTGACGTATATTTCATTCCATTGACCCACAAGTCTAGTCTACGCAGCTCAAGTGAAGGAAACGATAAGGCATGCGATGTGAGCTTGAGTTGAAAACCAGAAGAAGTTGGAAAAATCAGCATGCAAGTCGTACCAAACGCGTGTGCTGATTATTCGAACCCTCACGCATTTTTCCCCACGAAGAATGGTCAATCCGAACCTCCTACCGAATGGACCACACACAGCACCACCCTAACGTAGATCACGAGTTTGACTTTTTGACCACACTTTATTGCTAATCGTACTTGATTTCGACCACAACATGTACATCGAAAGAGGTTTTGCATGACGGAGCTGATTTTCCACGAATTGAGCTAATTTCGGGTCGGCAATCCAGCATGAACAAAAATGAGTAAGCAACCGTTGACTAAGTTAAATAGAATAAACCGGTCACATTTCGAAAATTTGTGGGGCTCGTACCAATGCAATTTCTATTTTGTGATCAAATCCGTGGACGATGGCCGTAAAATATTTCTAAAGCGACCAGTAGATAGCCGCTATAAAAAGCGGCCAGCCTTGGCAAAGCTTTTCATCTTCGAATCTGCGGTTCCTTTGGTCTCTGGTTTTGCATGCAATCCACCGCCTCCCCTCTGTCTTCCTCTTTTGCTTTCTAACACGCACGCACGCGCACACTTTCTCCTTCTTTTGCACACCAATATTCGCACACCCCCGATCATCAATCTCTCCAAAAACCAGAACAAGAAGAAGAGCAGAGAAGAGTTTGCTTCCATGGGGTTCAAGGGCATGTTCGATCTAGAGAAGCACTACGCGTTCTACGGCGCGTACCACCGCCACCGGGTCAACGTCCTGATGCACACCCTCTTCGTGTGGCCGCTCTTCTTCTCCTTCCTCGTCCTCTTCTACTTCACCCCTCCCATCTGCAGCCTCTTCTTCAGCGTCCCCCCCAAGTGCTTCCTGACCAGCCACGGCCTGCTCCTCAACTTCGGCTTCTTCCTCGCCCTGCTCTACGCCGTCACCTACGTGTGCCTGGACTGGAAAGCCGGCTCTCTGGCCGCTCTGCTCTGCTTGGCCTGTTGGGTCGGCTCGAGCCTGCTCGCACAGCAGCTCGGCTTCTCTCTGGCATGGAAGGTCTGTGATGCTTCTCTTTTCTCCTTTTTGCTTTACTTGCTCGATTCCTTGTGGTCAATACTCAGGAAACTCCGTCTTGAGTGCAGTTCTTTCTGGCGTCGCAAGTGATATGCTGGGCCGGTCAGTCCATCGGTCACGGAGTGTTTGAGGTGAGTTGGTACACTTAGTATAGAATCTGCCTTCTTGTTCATTATCTGCAAATTGCGTTCGTCTCATCGAAACGGTCTGCAGAAACGAGCCCCCTCGAACAACATGGCGCAAGCATTCGTGATGGCTCCTTTCTTCGTACTGCTCGAGGCAAGTTTCTCTTGCTCTTGTCTTCTTCGAAACGCAACCATCGATCGTTAAGGTCACAGCTCTTACAGGGTTCGAAAAATTTCAACTTGCAGGTTCTGCAGACAACCTGCGGGTACGAGCCATACGCAGGGTTCAACCGAAGCGTGGAAGGGAAGATAGAGGCTGAAATCGAGCAGTTGCAGAGCAAGACACCCAGCAAGAAGAAGGCCGCTTAGTCAACAAACGTCAACCGGGCTTCTCCGTCGGAGCTCGAGTCAACGCTGGTCTTTAAGATTGTAATTTTGTATGGTTGGGTTTCCATTGAGCAGAGTTTGACTGAATCTTCGTCTTTTGATTGAGATGGAGTAGCTGAAATCGCCCTTCAAGTCTTGGTTCTTGAGTTATGCCATCCATGATTATTCTATCATTTCATCGTTTTGGGTTATGACACAGCAGACAGAATAAAGGATAACATTTTTATTTATTTGCATGATTTGAATGCTTGATTGTGAGGCAGCAACCTCCCCACGCCGACCACAAGGGTCAATGCCTTCGTCTATCTATCCATGCTAAATAAGGGAACAGATTAATTGCACAAATCAAGAAAATCAAAACTCGGGCCGATGGGAGTTGTTGGATCTACATCTTCGCCCCCCCGACGACAAGACCTCTATAGGTAGATTGATGAATGAGATTTCAAAATACCTTTTAAAACGGTTGAAAACTTACATAATAAAAAGCATTTTGGATGTTCGATATCGCTTTGATAGCATTTTGGATGGACTGTTAAACTTATGAGATAGTTAATCGTATAAATAAAAAAAATCAAGGCTCGAGGCTTCCGACGGAAGTTGTTGGGTCTACATTTTTTACCCCAACGACAAGGGTAACATAGGATAGATTGATAAGCGAGATTGTAAAGTACCTCGAATCTTTTTAATATAATTTATAAATTACGTGCAGAAGTGATCATTGACATGTACATAAAATGATGAAAGGTAACAGCCAAAGTTAAGATGTATATGAATCAATGATAAAACGGCTGAAAGTTTACACCTTCAAAATATGAGGTCTCATTTTCGATTATCTCTTTGTGTAATAGCAATAATATTGACGATAAAGATAACAAAGGATGTTAGTATTATTACAGCTTATGTACTAGAAAATATTGGATGCCCCTCGGATTCCACGGTGGCAAAAAACGAGTGCCTCTCCATGCGACACGTGTCAAGGGGGCCCCACCCAGTCAGACTCCAATTTTGAAAATAAAGCGCCACTCTCTCATCTCTCAGCACTCTCGCGCCCCCAACCTCTCTCTCTCTCTTCCCGGATCTGCTTAGAACTTGCGCTCCCTCCGACTCCTCCGACACTGCCTCCGACGCCGATGGCTCTGACTTCGACGCCGACGCCGACACCGACGCCTCCGCCTTCGCCTTGACGCTCTACATGCTGCAAGCCCCGAAGAAGCGAGGGTGGAAGGCGAAGCCGTAGCCAAAGGAGGAGGTCCACCACCAGCAGCCGTAGCCGGCAGCGGCGGCCAAGTCTTCGTCATCGTCGTCGACGGTGGCCAAGGAGAAGAGGTCGCAGCAGCAGCACACAGTCGACGAGAAGTACGCCCGGTGGAATTCCCTCGTCCTCGTCCTCGTCCTCGTCCTCGTCCTCTACAACTGGCTGGCCAACCACAACCTCCTCTAACCTTCTCTCTCTTGCCGGTACTTCAAAGGCCTCCTGTTTCTCTGTTCATTGTTTCGATTGGCATCAGTGGAAATCCAGGGTTGTTTTTGCTAGGTTGTGCTTGGGTAAAGTGGCGTGGGTGTTGAATTTTTTGGAGGTTTAAAGGATTGCGAGTGCGGTGTTCACAGGCCTAGGTAGATGTTGGGTTGAATTAGGGTTTTTGGCACGCACGACCTTCTCTCTTATGCCGGTCTGAGACCGCATTTTGGTTTCGTGCAAGTTTGGTGCCTGTGGATTTGTAGGGTTTAAATATTCTCTTTATCCTATGAGGTTTGGTTCGGAGGAGTACAGAAATGCTGGTTTTCATCTCTGCTTTTGGGTGATGGTATTTGATTGTTGAGCTATGCTGAATGTCGATAAATTCCTCTGGATTAGTCAGAGAATTATGATTAGTCAGGACATTTTTAGGATTCCTCTAATATTTCATTTTGAGGATGGTTGGGTTGATTAGTCATTGATGGTATTTCTTTCTTAGGTGTTATACATGAGCTCATAATTTTTACCATATGCTTAATATCTTATAGGTTATTCTTATAGAACATATGCATTTGTTTTTAGTATGTTGATTTCCAATGCTGTCATTCAAAGACTTTTCTGGACATATGCTTGACTAGAATCTTTAATTCATCCTTGGACTTATTGCTTGTTCTGTATACAAAGCAGGTAATTCTTATATCTGGTGAGACTGGATGCGGAAAGACCACACAGGTTAGGTTATTAACTCTTTGCTTTGTTTTCTTTATGGTACATAAATCGTGTTCAATCTGAAATATTCCGAGGAGGTATGCTTGCTCACCATCTATTCGAAAAAATGCTTAAACCAAAGGAAATGGTTGAATAACAATCGTTTATCGTCATTTTGATTTTGTGTTAGGCTCCAGTGTTTGGTCGTCGCAAGATCATAGTTTTAGATCCTACTCTGCTTTTTCGGATTCCTTTGGGTGATGGTATTTGATTGTTGAGCTATGCTGAATGCCGATAAATTCCTCTGGATTAGTCAGAGAATTATGATTAGTCAGGACATTTTTAGGATTCCTCTGGTATTTCATTTTGAGGATGATTGGGTTGATTAGTCATTGATGGTATTTCATTCTTAGGTGTTATACACGAGCATATAATTTTGTTGGGTGTTATATGTAAGCACAAGCTTGCGTGCGCGCGCACGAGCAAGCATGCCTTCACAGCTACATGCTTCAAAATTTTATTTCAAATTCTTCCTCCAAGTAGATTCAAATTCTTCCTCCGATGTACATTTATACATAAGCGCTAAGAAATATGTATCCTTAAAACCCGGCTTATGATAAAGATGCAGGATGTTTTGGTTAGCATTTTTCCCGATGTGCCAATTGCACAAACGATGTTGTATATTCGAAAACACCATTCTAATGGCTTTTGCCATGGCTTAGTCTTGATCAGTGAACATGGTTTTTGAAGCCTTATTTCCCATAGATTTCAAAAAAGCCTCAAACAACCAAATAAATGTTTTTGCAGTCTCGTTCAACAAAAATGCACAATCGAACAGAACATTCTTCCAATGGTAATTAATCCCGACAAATGGTGCACATATCATATTATATTTGTTGGTACGATATGTGGTATCAAACACTAGCACATCACCAAAACAGTCGTAATCAAATTTCGACATGCTATCTCTCCAAAATAAATTTGTCATTCTACCATCTTGATCAACCTGTACAGCGTATGAAAACATTGGATTTTGCATTTGCATGAAATGAAAATGATTTAGAACACTTTGACAATCTCCCCCCCCCCCCCCCCTTATACCATCAGCTCTTTTCGTCTGCAAATAATTTCGACAATCATGCAGATTGAAATCCAAGTTTTTGCTTCCTTCTGCTTCATTTGCTAGAAACTTATATGCTGTAGTCCCCCAATGCCGGCTTTAATCATATCAATTAATACACCCTTACAAGTTTCAAACATGATTCTTCTACATCTAATCAAATGCTTTTGATCATCCGGAATAAATGCCTGATTATATGCATAAATATACTCAATGACTTCATAGACACCATTGTCAACCTTAATTTGATACGAGCAAGATAGCCACATCTAACTTCATACCTCTTATATTTCTTTTCTTGATCAAAAGAGTTAAGAGAATGCCCCTCACAATTGCACACAAAAGTCTGTCGGGTTCATTCTCGTTTGCTATTTTTAAACATATTACCCTTCCTCACCCCAAATCCTTTACCGATTGCATAGGCCATATACTTATGATATGCTTCGAGTTCATTTGAAAAAACCATTCCTACAGAAAATTCATAATCTTTTTCTATATCACGTGTTACATGTGCAAGATGGGAAATTTCTTGCAGCAACCGAAAGAACAAAAAGTTATCAACATAGTACTTTTACATGCAAAATAACATTTCATCTGTTTCTTAAGAAAGCAAAAGATATTTCACATAATGTGCATGACAAAATTACCTCTGATTCAGCCATCCGATAAATTTGCACCCAAATTGAGACCAAATTGGGATTAAAATGACACCAAATCAGTCCCGACCAGCAAGTTTCAAAGATAATTCCAGCAGGTTTAAGTTTAGTAATGACACTACTTAACGAGAAATAGATATATATATATATATATATAAATTGTTACGGATGTCCATACTCATGTATATGCTCACAAAACTATAATGTGGAGTTCATTATTAGAAAAGATAGCCAAAACAGACAAAATTCGGTAACTTTCTAGGCGGATTGTGTCAGCTTTGATTGAGTTCACACAGTCTTCATGTCAATCTCACTCTATAAACTAGAGAATAAGCATACAGTAAACAATAGACATTAGCCAGGCATCAAGCATCAGCAATTTAGGCACTAAAAATTTAAAACCACGATATAGTTCACATGAAACTCGATTTCAATCTCAACCTAGTTTTAGCACCTCATGGGAGCATCACAGCACCAAAATACTGATATGATGAACTATACAGAAGAGCTTAAATGGAGATTGGAGTGCTGTTCTTCCTAGTTTTTTTCGCTTTGAAAGTTTTATCCCAAGGTACTTTAGCTTTCATTAATGGTTGACTTTCAACATATCTGTGTCCATTGTGGGCTAATCTCGCCTTCTTTTTTAATGCTCTTCATATCTTTAGATCTAGATTAGATTACCGAAATCATTTGTTAAGAAGAAAAAGATACGCACGAAAGTGCATGAACCATTCAAAAGTAATAAGACTTCAACCGAATTATATGAAGGTGGACATAGAGTTACATCTGAGTACAGCAAGTCCGTTGCAAGTGATAAGACATAGAGTTATGTTTAAGTACGGCAAATTTAGTGATTCATATTCGCATGATATTCTACCCATTTGAATTATTCTCCAAGATCTTGAATGATAAGACATTTTGCCATTTTTGAACTTCAAGGATTGAAATCCTAAAACATTAATAGGATGAACTCTCAAACTGGCATAGGAATGTTGATGCTGTCGTGACCTACCCGTCCCGATCGGGTTTAGGCCAAGAGGTATTTGTCGATGGATATGAACAACGATTGATTCGTTTGAATGGTGAACCAAATGGTTCAGTAATCCAATGACCGAGGCACTCTCAAGCCTCATACCTCACGCAACGAGAATTTTTTTAATTTACACATTTGATTGGAGTCGCCACTAGCTATGATCAAGGGTCGGCTAGAAACCCTGATCGAGACGCGGGAGTGTCGTCTCGATACACGCGAAAATCAGAGATTCTAAAGTTCGGAGACTTGATTACACTAGCGATCTAACTAGTGCCCTTTCAGTACCTAAACTTGAATGTTCGCAAACTAACGTACCGGGCAGCTTATCGAAAAAGTTAAGATTCCACATAACCGTTCTAAAAATAGAAAATAACAATCAATGTATTAAAAGTGCGCAACCAGATAATCATGAAGAGAATAAACAACCAGCGACCTAGCATCGTCTCTAAAAAAAGAAAATGCAATCAAAAGCCCTAAGGTAAAGCCCTAATGGCTTATCCGATTTTTGAGAATTTTTTTAGAGGATTTTTCTCATTTTTCATTTTCATTTTTTTTGAGTTTTTTAACCTAAAATCTAGTGAAATTAAGCCCAAAACTGATTTCTAAACATTTCCTAATTTTCTGATTTTTTTTTAATTTTTCCGAATTTTTCTGAAATTTTTAATTTTTTTGAATTTTCTGAATTTTTTAATTTTTTTAATATTTTTAATTTAATTAATTTTTTTGGGATTTTTAAACATTTTCGAATTTTTTTTTGGAATTTTTAATATTTTAATATTTTTTTGAATTTTTTGAATTTTCCAATATTTATATTAATAAAGAAAATCGGACCGGGTCTCCCGACCCAATCCGACCCGGCTGCCCGACCCGGGTTACCGACCCGCCCGAGTTTTCAAAATTTGATTTCATATTCTATTTTTTATTTTTTTCTTTTTCTCTCTTTTCCTTTTCTTTTCTCATTTTTTTTGTTTCTTTTTCTTTTTCTATTTTTTTTTCTCTCTTCTTCATGCCCTTCGTGTGCCCTCTGCCCAGAATTCCTTCCCAGGCGTCTTCATGCTGGGACCGTCACTGCGAACGCCTCCATCCCAAGAACCTCAACGAGACCACGCCACCTTCCGAGGCAAGCTTCCCCCAGATTCTAGACTACGGCCGAATCACCTCCGGTCGATCGACTGACTCCAAGTCACCGTCGGCCAGCTACTGACCGGCATTTTCTTGATCGTCGGTCACCTATTCCGACCCAAAAAACACTCCCCCCAGACCCACGCGACCAAGCCAGCGAACAAAACAACATAATCATATAAAAATGAGGAAGAATGGTCTAACTGAGGCGTGCCAAACCGTGTGCTTCGTTGGTGTTGGAAATGTCTCCAGCGAGGGAACATTTATACGCAGTCGACTCGGACAACATTAATACCCCACAAAATCACATGGAAAACAAAGAAATTTTGAAGTCAGTAACTACAATGGAACCGACCAAGCATATAACAAAGCTTTAGGGCGTCGCTTTTGCAAAAAGAATAGAAACTTCATTCAGGCATTTCATCGAGCATATGGCAGGCGTGGTTCATTGAGAGCTTTAGGTCGAGATTCGAAGCAATATAGGGCTTAAACATGATGTATGAAGATCCAAACAGCCGTATTTAACAACAAACATGTCTCGGTTTACACAAAAACGACCCAAAAATGCAAGATCAAATTCGGCGCCCTAAGCTCAAAGAGGTTCGTTGGGGCATTTAAACAAACAGGTGGGGTGCGCTTAAAACTAAGGGCTTCTAAGTCGATTTTTGTGGAATTCAGAGCTTATTTCTCATTAAAAAACGTTCAATAACATCATTTGGGGAAGTATGGAACCATTTTCCTCGTTCTGTGGTGTCGGGCAAGCACCGAATGAGCTCGGTGAGCCCGGCACTCGAGAGGCAGGGAGGAGGAAGCAAAACAGGGGAGCTGAAACTAAACCCACCTGGTTCGTCTCCGACCGAGATGAAGTGCGGCGACTGAGAACTTGATGGTACCGACGACGACTCGGGTTGATGGCCGGCAAACGAGCCAAACTTTCTTCCTTCGGGTACCATCCTCCCACTCTCTTGGTGTCTCCCTGTGCGAGGAGGTCGAACCACGCCAAAGAAGAAGGGTCCGACTCTGGTTTTCGCAAACTCACAGTGCACGGCGGAGAGGGGGAAGAGATTTGTCCGGCCCCTCCTTGCCGGTCAAGGGGGTCGGAACGCTCTCTTCACTACCCCTCGATCCTCCCCTTTTCCTCTCCGTTTTTTTTTTCCCGTTCCTCTCCGGTTCTCTCTTTCTCCCCCGGCTTTAAGGATGGCCAGTGGCGCGGAGCCGGCCAGCAAGCGCGCATGGCCCCCTGCCACTGTCAGCTGCCGTGGCCGGCCTACGCCCGACCCGAGGATCGCACCGGCATGCCCCACGCCCCTCTGGCTTCTGCGTTCTTTTCTGTGGCGTTCTGCACTGTTCCTCCCCTGTACATTCTGAAACGTTGACTGGGGAGGAGGGAGATGAACAGACGTGAGCCGGGCTGAGGGAAAGAGGGCCGGCCCGCGTGGAAAAAAAAGAAAAGAGGAGAAGAGTAAAACAAAAATGGGCCGCGTAAAAATGAAAAGAAGAGGGAAAAAAGAATGGGCCGACAAACCCGGCCCGGAAATCTTTTTTAAAAAAAAAAAAAAATTTTGTGCCCTAATAGGCCTTATTAATGCAAATGTGCCTAATGTCTACATGTCATGTAATTCAATGAAAATATTTTTGTTTAGTGGTTTAAAAATTAAATCCTAAAATTTTTTTATGCGATAAAACCCTAAATGATTTGGGCAAAATTTAGGTGTCAACAGATACTTTATCTCAAAATGCCAGAGCAAATGAAAAGAAACATTAGGACATATATAGTTTAACCCAAAATCAGAGGAGCAGGACACGATCGATCAAAATTGACAAAGTTATTTGATGCATTGAACAAATGGAAGTTGCACTCTAGGATACAAGAGACAACTCCTATCTCAGTAATGAACTTGTCCTAATTACTGAACTACTTTGTGGATAAAGCAAACTCATACTGGACCTGTAATGGAGTTCATTCCAACATACATAATCAACAATTAAGTCCATGTCGGGATAATGCTTGGATTGTTATTGTTACTGTTGAATGAGTGTTCTGTGCACCACCAGCAGAGAGCGCACGCCCCACAGAGAGAGAGAGAGAGAGAGAGAGAGAGAGAGAGAGAGAGAGAGAGAGAGAGAGAGAGAGAGAGAGAGAGAGAGAGAGAGAGAGACCCTCAATGGGACGTAAAGAAAGAGAATATGGCCCAAAAAATTACGTGTGTGAAACATCATCGTCTAACTTTGTATATATTGCCTTGAGATAGCATGACAACACGCCAAAAAGACATAGGAGGAGGAAGGTCTATGGAAACAAAAATACGATTGGATCAAATGAAATACTAGAGGAATCCTAAAAATGTCCTTACTAATCATAATGCTCTGACTAATCCAGAGGAATTTATCGACATTCAGCATAGCTCAACAATCAAATACCATCATCCAAAAGCAGAGATGAAAACCAGCATTTATGTACTCCTCCGAACCAAACGTCACAGGATAAAGAGAATATTTAAACCCTATAAATCCACAAGCACCAAACTTGCACGAAACCAAAATGCGGTCTCAAACCGGCATAATAGAGAAGGTCATGCGTGCCAAAAACCCTAAAACCCTCATTCAACCCAACATCTACCCAGACCTATGAACGCCGCACTCACAATCCTTTAAACCTCCAAAAAATTCAACACCCACGCCACTTTACCCGAGCACAACCTAGCAAAAACAACCCTAGATTTCCACCGGCTCTAATCGAAATAGTGAACAGAGAAACAGGAGGCCTTTGAAGTACCGGCAAGAGAGAGTAGGCCAGAAGAGGTTGTGGTTGGCCAGCCAGTTGTAGAGGATGGGGATGAGGGACTTCCACCAGGCGTACTTCTTGTCGACCGTGTGTTGCTGCTGTGACCTCTTCTCCTTGGTCACCGCCGACAGCTGCGGCTGGTGGTGGTGGAGCTTCTCCTTTGGCTACGGCTTCGCCTTTCGCCCTCGCTTCTTCAGGGCTTGTGGCACGCGGAGCGTCGAGGCGGAGGCTAGGGCGTCAGCGTCGGCGTCGGCATCGGAGGCGGTATCGGAGGGAGAGGCTAGGGCATCGGTGTCGGCGTTGGAGGCGGTGTCGGAGGGAGCGCAAGTTCTGAGCAGATCCGAGAGGAGAGAGAGAGAGAGGTTGGGGGCGCGAGAGTGCTGTGAGATGAGAGAGAGGCACTTTAATTTCAAATTGGAGTCTGACTAGGTGGAGCTCTCTCGACACGTGTCGCACGGAGAGACACTCATTTTTTGCCACTGTGGAATATGAGGGCACCCAATATTTTCTCCTTATGTACAGAACAAAATGTTATTTTGTTGGATATTCCAAGGATGCAAAACCTTTTCAAGGGCAAGAAATTGACTTTCGGAGTCAGCAAGGACGCCAAGGGCCAACCGGGTTCAGATAAAGCAAACGACCACCACCCATCATCGAATCCGACACGTGTCGAGACAACAAGATCTTCGCTAAATTCCGTTCGACGTGTCTGCCACTTCCCCTCCCTTGTCTGAACGGACGGTGAAGACGCGGGAGAGAGAAGGAAGAGAGAGGGAAAGGTCGAAACTTTCTCCAACCACCCGACCGTTGAAGCATCGTAGACCATCGAGAGAGAGATGTCGTGTTCTTCGTTGTGTTCTTCGACGACGCTTCAGTCCCGGGCCAGCGTGAATGGTGGGGGTCTCAAGCTTCAAAGTCCATCTCTTTATCAACCCAGTTCGCTCACCTTCACAAGGTACTGAGCTGTTCTCTCTAGTCTTAGTTATCAAGAAATGGAGGTTCATTCTTTCTGGGGCAGAATCAAGAATCAAGACCCATGTATAATCTGCCAAATGGAATTATTCTTGGCTTTGACTTTCTTAAGGACTGTTCAAGCGCGAATTACACGTTCAAGAATACTCGCTCCTCCTTTTTGCTCGTTCGTTTTAAGCTGAAATCTCAAAATACCGCAACTTTCTTCACATTTCGGTGGGAATTTGATGATAATTTGTGATTGCTTTGGCTTTGTTTCTTTCTGATAACCAATGGAATGGGATTTTGACTAATTTCGCAATATGGTAACGGAGATTGGCATTGGCTAGTGACTTGTGTCGAGGTTGTTGATGTGCCATCATCACTATCATTTTCTTTCTGGAGTTTGATTTAACATTATCGCTGAAATGAAGCCACAGATATATATAGACGCTTTCCACATTCTTGGGGCTTCAGGTTTTTAAAGGTTGTGTGCTTTTGGGGGCTTCATTCATGCTTTTCATTGGCTAATGTCTTTTGCCACTCTGTGTTGTATATGTAGAAGAAGGATCCAAACTGTCGTGAAGGCGACTGCACGAGTGGATAAATTCTCAAAAAGCGACATCATTGTCTCTCCATCGATCCTCTCAGCAAATTTCGCCAAACTGGGAGAACAGGTTCTCCTTTTATCTTGAGTTCTTATAGCAGACACTTCCATTACTGGGTTAGAGCGATAGGCTACTGCATATGAGTGAAGATAGCATGATATATTTTCCTATTTTGGCGGCTAAAATATTGTCTTTCTGGCCTTTTTTAGGACTAGGAAATTTCTTTGACTTACTGAGGTGGTGTGATTCTATCTTTTCGTGTGACGCTGTTTGGACCCGTGTATTGTCTAGGTAAAAGCAGTGGACGTGGCGGGTTGTGACTGGATCCATGTCGATGACATGGATGGTCTTTTTGTTCCGAATATTACCATTGGACCTCTTGTGGTAGATGCCTTGCGCCCCGTGACAGATCTTCCTCTAGATGTGCATTTGGTATCCTCCCTAATTGGTTGGGAACTTTTCCAAAATCGAAACAAAAACGGGAATAGGAAGTGAATTCTAATAAGATCATTCTTGCAGATGATCGTAGAACCTGAACAGCGAGTACCGGATTTCATCAAGGCTGGAGCGGACATAGTCAGTGTCCATTGTGAGCAATCAGCCACCATACATTTGCATCACACTTAATCAAGTGAGAACTTCATCTTATCATGTTTAGCGCATTTCGTGCAGATGTAATTGATCTGATCAAAAGAAAAGTCATGTTTCAAGTAATCTGCATAAATGGTGTCCATAAAATTTCATTGGCGCTCTCTAGTCCCAATCTCCTCTCTGAGCTCCTTTTTTGATAATTCAGATAAAAAGTCTAGGCGCAAAAGCTGGAGTTGTTCTAAACCCTGCCACACCACTGAGCGCTGTAGACTCTGTCCTTGATGGTGAGTTTACTGCTTACTTTTTCTCTTCTTTATTGTTTTCCTTTGCCTTGATATCTGGATGTGAAAATTCAAAGTAGTTGCTTTGTCTCAAGAGATCATGATTATCAGCTTTTGATGCATGTCCAGATCCTTTCTTCACTTTTGTGATTTCCAAATGAAACCAAACAGAATTTGTGTAGTCAACATGAGAAGCCTTAGGTGGGATTAAGAAAATTCTTGTTATTGAAATTGTGATTGCTAAAGACCACTGGATAATATGAGAAGCTGCATAAAGTTATATAGACAAGTTAAGCGCCATCCTAATGCAACAGTTTCATTTGAAAAATCTAAAGGACATGTTTCATGCGGTAATTTAGCTTCGAAGGACTTATGTGTAGACAATGATAACTTGAGATGACAGATTGCTTTCTATTATGTTCATATTCTAGAGTATAACACTGACAGAAACATTGAACTCTGCCCGGAAGATTGCAAAGTCTAACTTGACGAGGCACATCTCTCTGTGAAACAGTCGTTGACCTAGTCTTGATCATGTCGGTGAACCCTGGCTTTGGTGGGCAGAGTTTTATTGAGAGCCAAGTAAAGAAAATCTCCGACTTGAGGAGACTCTGCCTAGAGAAGGTATCGCACAGGGTCACAGTTCTTTTTGTAAGCTTTTATCAATTGATTGTCATTTGGTCGGGATGCAATGCCAAGTTGATGATATCTTGACCTATGCTCTCTAATAGGGTGTTAATCCCTGGATAGAAGTAGATGGTGGTGTTGGCCCATCAAATGCATATAAGGTGCTCCTATTGAACTTCGATCCTTTTCATGATGTACTATATTGAGTTTTCATTCGAATACTCTGTGACAAGGGCCATTGCCTGAAACATATTAAGGATAACCATGTCAATGGTCCGCGATTTAGCGTTCAAAATTGTAATGTAATTAGTCCATTCCCTAATTTTATGTTGGATATTTAGATAGTGAGTGTTTGATAAGGAAAGTAGTCAGGTTAGTACAATAGTTTCTTAACCAAGTGTCTCCTAATCTTATATGTGAGAATGATATATTCAGACGACCACTGCATGATTTTACAGGCTGCCTCTTTCTTGTTTTCCCTTGAATAAACTTTGCAAACTCAATACATATTTGCTCTCTTGGCTGGTAGGTTATTGAAGCAGGAGCTAATGCTATCGTAGCCAGTTCAGCTGTCTTTGGAGCTAAAGATTATGCTGAAGGTTGGAACCTCGGACCTCTTCCTCAATGGAAATTTGTTTGTTTGTTTGCCAGTGTTTTTGCTTCAACTACTTCGACTAATCTGATGGTTTGAAATGAATCTATTACAGCTATTAGAGGGATCAAAACCAGCAAGAGGCCTGTAGCTGTTGCCGTCTGAAGAGACATTCTTGAGATCTAAAGCAGATTATGGAACCGAAGCATTTAGCTAGTGTATGCTACATTCCATCTCATCTATTTGCCCACTCACTCTCATGAGGAAGGATCTCTGAAACTGTTTAACGTCGGTATCTTCTAAGAGAAAGTACTTAATGCATGATTGCCTGGGATTCGCTTTCTTTCATTGATATAACTAAATGGACATTCTGAATCTCCTATCTGTTTTGTTTCCCCATCTCAATCTGCTATAGTCATGCCCAGCTCAGGAATTCAATGCAATCTACCTTACATTGATCTTGATTGTACTTTCACTCCGTTTAGACAGTTCTCTGTTTTATTAACGTGGGTCATTCTAACTTTAATATCTTCTACGTACTGATTTTGCAGGAACACGGCAGAAATTTTGCAGCTCATGGGCAGCTAGTAGCATCAGTTCATCAATCAAATTGAAGTCATATCTGGAATTGCTCTTGGACAAGAAGTAGCGAAAGCCAAGTGCAACACCAGATAAAATCTTCTGTTGTGGTTCATCACGACAATAGCGATATGCATATCCCCTGGTTTTTTTTTTTTTGGTCAAAAAAGTACTTCATTCATTAAGTGCCATAATCAAAACAAAGATGTTCAATATCGAAACATAAAAGATCCCGAAGGGGTTGGGGAGGTTTAGTAATCCAATTAGAGAGGAGGGCATTTCTACAAAGGGCTTTGGCGATCCAATCCGCCACATGATTTACTTTTCGCGGATAGTGGACGAACGAAGTGCTTTTAAATTGGGCCAAACTCTTTTTGCAATCCTCTATAACAGCCCGGATGCACCATGGGCTTGGATAAGTGCCTGCTATAAACCCACATACTGATAAGCTATCACTTTTGATCTCTACCTTCAGATCAGCTTCTTCGTTCAGAGTAAAGTACGACACTAGGAGAGAGAAACCTTCCTTTAGAGCTAGGGCTTCCGCTTCTTCAGCCATTGCAGAGAGGGTCAATTTCGCAAACCCGGCGACAACAATCCCTCTTGAATCTCAAAGTATGCCAGCAATCACTCCGTCTGGTTCACCCTCGATGAAAGATCCGTTGACATTCAGCTTAAAGGCACCATTTTTAGGCGGTTTCCACCCTGTTGAACTTCATATTAATAAGAATTTCAGTTTCTGTCTCATTCCTTCTCTTCCGTCATAAGAATTTGCAGTATGAAAGTTTTATGAGGGAATAGTTGTATTCCTGGCTTTGTTACTGATTCTGTTGCCGAATTTCCTTTAAAGTATGGTAAGATAATGTTGTGCAACGACAACTTGAATTGAATTTAATGAGCATGTTATATAAGCCTTCCTTACTCCACCAGAACACAGTAGCATTATATACTTCTGCAAAATTCTGTGAAGCTACACATTGGGATAGCTAGTAAAATCACTTGTTAATCATATCAAGGATCATCAACGTAATACCAATTTCTTAATGCATATTTGTCATGTAATCCAGCCATTGCAACAAACATTAAAGCACAACACTTTCATTACAAATTTGGTTCTAGCTTTGTGACTGATCTCCTCAGGCTAACTAAAGAGCTACAGATTCTCGATGTATTCCTATCTACAAAGCCTACGGAACACGTCCTTGTGACTTCTCTATAGTCTCTACAAAGAGATGGAGCGATATACAGTTACTATGCTAGAAATGTAATATCTGTCCTAGAAATTCATCCATTACGCAAAAACTGCCATGATGGAACAGCCATAGCACAGGACCAAAGGGCAGTGCTGCATAAGAGCGCTCACGAAAACCACCAGCTTCACCACAGCAAAGGCCTCAGTCCTCCACAAGCGCCTCAATTACAGCACAGTAAGCAGGGAATGTGTTAAAGCTATGTCGGCCGATCCAAATTTTATCCTCTACAAGATGCGAGGAGCTTTACACTTGACATGCTGTCTACAAACAGGGCAGGAACCACACCTAACAAGCCACTTGTCAACACATGTCAAGTGAAACATGTGGTGGCAATGGGGTAAGCTCCTTACAGTTTCTCCGACTTCGATATTCTATGGTAAGACACGAGCAATAACCGCGCATTAAATAGTGACCATGTGAGCAATGATCAACTGTAACATATACATCTTATGAGAAACTAACCTGCAAACATATTGCACAGCAAATGCTCTGCATTGTCTTCATGTCTTCCATGATGACCTGAGATGGCAGTCTCTTCAGAGCATCTTGTGACAATCCTCTGGATACTAACTCATCATATACATCACGAATTTCAATGAACCTCCTACTATCATCATCCACCTGCTCGCTCCAACAAAACACCATATGCATTAGTTAAGCCACAAGCTCCCCAGACATCAGTAGGAATAAGGCTTTCATCTAAGAATGGAATGGGGTCGCAAAATCTGAACTGTAACTTTTATAGCCTAAACAATAGGCACTAAATCACTTTAACAATACGAAACAACTGTTGCAAATCCTTTCTTCCAACGTTATGAGATGGCAAACAAACAGTATGTGGTTTTCTTATGAAGTGTTGTCAATAAACCTAATTACCTCGATAAATATTCCAATAACTTAGCCATGATAGTTACATCAGAATTACTGCCCATCGTTCCTAAGAACTAGTGCTATGCAGCTGCAACTTAAGAAAGGTTTTGCCTGTAAGTTTACCCAAAATTTACTTGTACAACTGACCCCAGCTAAAAAGGTTTAAATATTAAAAAGAAAAAATACAAGCCATTCGATTATGTGGGCATGTGTTCATAAGTCGTGATTATTCAGATGCATATAATATGCGGCAATTCTTGCTACACAGTGGAAAGGAGAGGGAAGACCTGCCAATGGTAAGGAGTTAGCATTGCCGGTTCAAATTGATCCTCTACAAACCTCCCACGGAGTAGCTCCTCTATGAAGTCAGCCTGGACTCAAAAGGTAGTGCAGTTGATCTAACTAGTTATGCAAGAGAAGGCTACCAACCAAAAGACTTAATGCATCTTTCAGCTCTGGAGAGAGTAGGTAAAAAGATGTTCATGGTGAAGAGTATGTTCTTTCAAAACTAAGCAGCTTTTTGCAGCACGCGTGCTAAGCTTCAAGATAAGACAATCACTGTTGCACATCTTAATTGACTGCTGCTCTTTCTTCGGAGGCACAGTTATATTCCCAATGTACTAAATTAAACATAATGCAGTACCAAGATGACTAGAACAGCATGCTGGTGAGCAAAGAATGCGGGCTATGTAACCCAAACAAGAAAAAAAAACAGACAGGAATCCGACTATGACTGGGGAAAATTTACAAAGCATGACCAGAGAGATTCGATAAGGATGCTGATTTTATCAAACTAACCATAGACGACGTGCCACGTACACCCGTTTGCTCTTGACACCAATAGGCACAGGACGCTTCCAAAAATTCCAATGACAATACCGCTCCAGCGATGGCTCCTAATAGCGCTCCTCGTAGAAGACCACGATTAGATGCTCGACCAGCTAAAGCACCCGCAACTGCTCCCATTAGAACTCCACCTAAAAGTCGAATACAAGCATGTCAAGCCATCATCAAAGTTTTCTTTCTTTTCCCCTTCCTATCACAAGATTCAGGGTTGAAGTCATTCGAGAGGCACAAAGAACATGCTGGCCCTTAAAAGTTCACTGGCAGAGATGGGCAAATAGCTGAGAAGCAGAAAGCTCGAGCAGTTTCAGTTCTAGCGACATCAGCATGAGCAAGGGCATGGTAATCAAAGATTCAAAGTACGTCAGAAAAATAACTCAAAGCTGCGGCCATCAACAAGTCTAGAGAAGACATCATGAGCTCAATTTGAACCAAGAACCACATCGCGTAAAGATTTCGCATCGTAAACAAGCAGTACTTTAGTCCAGTGAACACTACACCAAGTCTGCCTCACTCCGTTCCAACACAGACCATCCACGCCGAGACCAGGAATGCATGCTATGATCCCTCACTAAGCAACTGAACTAAACACCCAAATTCCAACGAATCTTGCTCGCCAGACTACAGTCAAAGAAAAGAAACAGGCCAAAAAAAATCATCATCTTCTCACCGAGAGCGAAAAGCCCGACGAGAGCGCCAAACAGCGCGACGATAGCCAACCGGAGCACACGCCGGAAACCCCAGGCCCCTCCGAACAATCTCCCCACAGCGGGCCAGTCGTGCGGCTCCCCCTCCGGCGACGGCGGTGGGGAGCCGCCGCAGAAGCTGCAGGCCGCCGAGCCCGCTCGGTAGCGGGAACAGGTGCAGCGAAAGCCCATCTCCATGGAATCTAGACGAGCTTAGGAAAGTGAAAAAAAGGACACAAAAAAAAGTGATCTTTTAGCACAAGGGATCGCCAAAGTTGAGAACTTTAAGCCCCATCCTGTCGTGGAAATGGAGTGATGGGTTCAGGCCAAGCACTGCGAGAGGGCGAAACCATTTCTTTGATGCACAGAGAGAGAGAGAGAGAGAGAGAGAGAGAGACGAGAGGCAGGGCCCAAGTAGAAACTAGAAATGGTAGTTGCCGACCAATACAGAATTGAAAGAGACGTGAAGATGAAGTCGGTTAAAGTTCTTCCAAAAAGTAAACGGTCGAAGAGAGAAGAAACACTAGGGGTGTATTTGAAAACTATTCTGTTTTCGAAAATAATTTCTGTTTAGAAATAATTTTTTTTTATTTCGTGATCGGAAATAATTTCTAAGCATTTAAAAATGTTTGGTAATTATTCAAAATTTCTACTCTTGAAATAGAAAAAGAACATAAATGCGTTTGATAACTATACAAGATTTCTTTTTATTAATAATATTTTGAATTTTTTAATATTTCTTTCTTTTCATTTTTATTTTTTTTCTTCTTCTTCCACTTCCTTAGCCATGACCAAGTCGCCGACGCCGGCAATCGGCCACAGGCCAGGGCCAGCGAAGGCGTCGCGGCCCTCGCCGGCCACAACCGCCCTTGCCAAATTCGACGAGGGTCACCCACGATGGATCTGGTGAGGGCGATCCTCGCCCATGCAGCGAGGGTCTAGCCCTTGCCCTCGCCGGTGAGCACCGCAACGCCCTCGCTGGCCCTGGCCTGTGGGCGATGGCCAGAGGCAGGCGATCGGTCAGGAAGAAGAAGAAAAAAAAAATTTCTTTTCCATTTCTGATTCTTCTTGATTCTATTCCAAAACTGATTTTGCGAACAAATTTTTGCAATTTTGTGCCCAGCAACAAAAAATTTACCAAACGAATTTCTGTTCCAAAACTGATTCTGAGAACAAAAAAATAGAAATAGTTACTGTTTGGCCGGTTGCCAAACGCGCCCTAGGATTCCAGTGAAGAAATATCGTTAATCACTTGTTAGGATTGGGGACCAAATTGGAAAGTCGACATCTTTCCTGGGATTGACAAGGACTTTGTTAGATAACAGATATAGCCATCATGCCGACAAGCTTGTAATTTTCGATATGTCACTTTTTAACTGGTACAAACACTCAATGCTTACAAGATCGCCAATTTCTAATTAGACAAGATCGGCACTCGTTAACAAAATCTTTAAGTCTTGATCGAGCAGCACCTCTGCAGGACGCGCAATTAATTCGACTTTTTTTCGTGCGAAGTCACACGCGATTAATGAAACAGTGTTGTCGTTCTCTTCACTGGGGATCAATGTTTGTTGGTGGCTTCATGGACTTTCAATAAACCACACATTTCTGTCTCGTGGGCTCATTTAGGTAAAAAGGATTAAATGAGGGACCACTTTGTTCAGCAAAGGAGAGAGAGTCCTTAAAATACAGATGACCCATCCGATTCTCCATTGAAGTGCCTTTCTTTCCCCCCCTTTTCTTATGGAAGCAGCAAAACGAATGCGACATCTTACCTACCACAAAGTTTTCTTCCACATTTTTGCATTGCAAGGTAGTGGAAAAACCGTGTTGGTTCTTTAATAGAAACCTTTTCAAGCCGCATGCCTTGAGCAGCGTAGACCCTACACCAAAAAGAAAAAAAGAAATAAATAACAGCAGCAGCAGCAGTCGCTCACACAGTCAGATTCCGAGGCACAAATTCTACTTCTAACTTCTATACCAAGCTCAACATCATCTCCATGCAAGCTACAAGCACCTACTTCAAACTCCTTTTAGAAGCTCGGCTCTGCAACAGAGATACGACGTGACCACCAGAATTTTGAATCTCTTGGTTTCGGCTCTACATTCCTCCCCAGTGCTCATCATGCGACATTGCACGCATTCATCAAGTATGACTCATAGAGATCACACAATCAGGGCATTGGCAAACTAACACCAGGTGGCGCATCGGAACTGACAATCACATCCGAACAAGGGTTTGATAGACAGGATTCAGAAAGAGGCAAAAGCTGTTCGTAGGACAAGAAGAAACGACATAAATGAGTCAATACAAGTAGAACTCTGGCGATGATTCATTAGACTGCACAAGGATACTTGGTTTAGCAAATAATCGTATTAGACTAATCGAAATATTAAGCCTTGTAAAAATATATTCAACAGAAAGATGGCCTTCAAACTGATTTGAGACAAAGTACAAGAGATATGGTTACACCAACCCAAGCACGTGTACCCATTGCGAGGCTCCAAAGACTAGACATCTTATCCAAAGCCTAAATCCGCGATCCCTTCTCGATGTTCTTCTAAACCTCTGGTGTCACAATCTTGTAAAGGGAAGCACTACTGCAATCATCATCCAGTTCGGAGGGCTTGGAGTCACAATCTTGTAAAGGGAAGCACTACTGCAATTATCATCCAGTTCTGAGGGCTTGGAGGCGAGAAGCAACTAAATTCAGCAAGTTTGGCCCTGCTTGAGACAAAAGAATGTTGATTATAAAAGATGCATACTCCACAATGGTGTCCATAGGTCCCGATTCATACTCATCCGGGCAATTTGGAACTCAAAACTTTGTGCCGCGACAGCAACACCTCATTCATTTGAGCAATTTGATGTAGGAGATGGGCGATTTTCTGCAAATGAGAGTTCAATGAGAGTTAAATCCAAATTTCCAAAATATCATAACACCATAAAATGGCAAGGACTGAATATACCCAGCTAATCACTCAAAATCGGGCATGCGAATTCAAAAAATTACTCGACTTTTGGAGAAGTCCCATCAAACTATGCAGTCGAGTTGCTTCACTTAACATAATAATGTCTTGGGGGAGGAATAGAATTTGGGCGATACAAAGGTAAACAGGTCACAATTCGACGCTTGGCCCACACTGATCCAAACCATACCAGCATTTATAGCCAGATTCCCTAATGGGTATTTCAACAAACACTTTACATGTAACCAAACTAACCTCGTCTCGCTCTTTAACCACGCGCATCAAACCATCCACCCTCTCTCTGTGCCTCAGGCGCAGCAAACGAAATCGCGCGTACACCCACCACAGCACCACCGCCGCCGAAGCAACAGACAACCAAACCAATCCTCCCCTCGCTGAGCTACGGCCAAAGAAGGAGCTCACAGCACCACGAACCTTCGAACCCAACACTCTAAACCCGAATCCCAGCAAGCCCGCGGCTCGACCCGGTTCTCGGACCTGGGCCGCCGGATCCGACGGCGGCCGCGGCTCCTCTCGGAGCTCCTCATCAACGTCGGACGACGAACACGAAGAAGGAGAAGAAGAGGACGACGACGACGACGACGACGAAGTGAAGAATTGCGAAGGGGAGGATAGTGAATCGGCGGAGGGAGGCAAAACAGGAGATGGGCTTCGCTCTTCTCCACAGGGTCCGGAGGGGACGTGCAGATTCTCATGGTTGCTCGGAGGAAACACGCTCAAGAACCCGCCTTTGCCATCTGGGTCGCCGTCGACGGCAGGCTCTCGGATGACGACCATCGACCACGGTCTGGAACGACCCGCGTGGGGCTCCGAAGAGCAGCACGAGCTCGCGGAATCAAGAACCTGCCGCGGCTCCGACGGACCCCCATCTGGTCCAAACATCTCTCGCCAAACCGAACCAAGAACTCCCGCCGGAAGAAAAAGAACCCCCTGGGAATTGCGAAAAGGGGGCGAGAGAATCTTCTACTCGCGATTGCGAGATGATGATGGAGAGCTTCGAAGGGACAGAGTCAGAGAGCGAGGTAGTGCTGCGCGACCGGAATCGTTCCGCCGGTCGTTTTTCTGGTAATGAAACGACCAATCATCGTCCACGAGGCTCGGGGCAGAGATCCTAGATTGCCGTCGCTAAAATGGGATCGGTTCGAGCACGTGCCCTTTTGGGGGTTGGGCCTGACGGGGAGCTGTATTGGGCTTTCCAAACGGGCCTAGGCCTATAAACAGTGGCCCGATTCCGTTGCATTTGCCACATCGGCCCGTCCTCAATGGCTACTAAAGCGAGAAGCGCAAGCTTGCTTCACTGGGATTGTCTTGGCTTTTCGTTTGGGTGTCACGGTCGCTTTCGTCTTAATAATATGCCGGGATAATTATACAAGTGGTCCATGAACTTTAGTACAATATACAATGTGATCTTTGAACTTTTATTTTGTTCAATGTATCCATGAACTTTAGCCAAATTTACAATATGGTCCATGAACTTTTAATTTGTTCAATGTGCTCCCTAAATTTTTGGTACTTGTTCAACTTAGTCCGGAACTATATGAATTAATTCAAGTTCAGGGACAACATTGATTCAGGGACTAAGTTGCACATGTACCAAAAGTCTAGGGACCATATTAAATAGATTAAATGTTCAGGAACCACATTGCATATTCGCCTGCAATTCAGGGACCACATTGAATAAATTATAAGTTCATGGACTACACTGTACATTGGGTCGAAGTTCATGAACCATTTATGTCATTTTCCCTAAATTGTGCAATTCGACCTCTTTCCTCCTATTAATGAGGGAGACTCTCATTTTGACTTGAATTTTCGATTTTGAGCGGCTAATCAATGAACTCTTACTTTTCCATAAGGGGGAAAATTATCTAAAAAGTCTTAAACTTATTGCACTTTTGCCAATTCAGTCCTAAACTTTTTAAGTTTGCCAATTGAGTTCATTCGGCCAATTTTGGCCGTTTTGAGCTGACGTGGCAATTTTTAATATTTTTTAATAATTTTTTTGAATTTTTAAATATGTTTTTATTTTTTTCCTTTTTTTTTTTCTGGCCTTCTTCCCCGACCGGCCAGAGGGAATGGCCGGCAAGGTCGACCTCGTCGGCCTCTAGTGAAGCTCGCCCCCGCCGGCCACTGGCGAGGGCGAGCCTTGCCGGCCCCTGGCTAGGCGAGGTCAAACCTCGCTCAACCTCGCCGTCCCGACCCAAGCGACGGGGAGGTTGGCCTCACTAGATTTGGGCGAGGTCGAGCCTCGTCCAGCCAAGGCAAGGCTGACCTCGCCCAGCTAGGGGTTGACGAGGGTTGCCCTCGCTAGTGGCCGGCGAGGGCGAGCTTTGCCAGAGGCCGGCGAGGTCGACCTCGCCGGTCGCCGGACCAGCCAGAGGGAAGAAGGCCAAAAAAAAAAAAGGAAAAAATATTTAAAAATTGCCACGTCTACGGTGGCTGAATGGCCAGCGTCCACGCCAGCTCCAGGCAGCCAAAATTGACCGGATGGACTCAATTGGTAAAAAGTGAAAATGTTTAAGACTCAATTGGTAAATTTGAAAGGTTTAAAACTGAATTGGTAAAAGTGCAATAGGTTTAGGACTTTTTAGACAATTTTCCATAAGGAGGAGCCTTGTTTGACTTGAATTTTATTTTCCCTTTGACTGCCCAAAACTTTCGAGAAAGTAATATCTTCCGGTCAAGCAAATTCAGTAGCCAGACCAAAAATAATAAAAAAAATTGAAAACTCAGTAGATATAATTTCATCCGAAAATGAAGGAAATGAATGTGTCGGTTCCATGGTGAAGGCACGACCTAACTAATATTCATTGATGAAGGCAACCCGCCAACTGAAATTTGATATTTTTTGCCTCTTTGTTGGTGTAGCATGAGCTTATCTTAAATTAGCATGCAAGTTATGATTAATTAAGCGACTTAAATTTAGGGGGTTCAAAGTTGAAAATTTAATGGGGTCATGTAAACATTTAGGACTCCGTTTGTTTCATGAAAAATGAATGATTTAAAAAAATATTTTTCTCATAAATGATCATTTATATCACTTATAAAAATCAATGGACGAATATTTTTTTCACTGTGTACGAAAATATTTAGATATAGATTGTTATAGACAATGAAAATATTTTTTTTGGCTAATTATTTCGAGCGATGCAAGCGATCATTTTTAGAAAATTATTTTTCAAACTGCTCTTTTTTCGCGAAACAAACGAAACCTTATATTTTGATCTTCTTCTCCTTTTCTTTTCCAAACGTCTTCACTTATTTTGCAAAAGCCCCCGTTCACGAGATGGGCAAAGTAGTAATTCCGTTCATCTCTCACATGTTTATATTCCGTTCATTTCTCACATGTTTTTATGTGAAATTTCGAGTCTGATTTATGCTACGACGGTTTTCTTTTAGAAAGAGTTCTTTAAATATTGAAATCTCTTTTTCCACAAATGCACAAAGTAGAAATTTATACAGTATGTTGGGGTTTATAGTTGCTTCATTGGAATGTCTTTGTTTTTTTTTTATTTCTTTTTTTCAAATGTGGGTGCTACAATTGTTTTCGTCTTAATAAATGGTGGGTCTCGACCTTTTCCTCCAATTAATAAGGAAGAATTTCTTATTTTGAATTGAAATTTTTATTATGAAAGTCGATCGAGACACTTGTACTTTTCACAACAAGGAGTCTGCTCTGCTTGGCTTGAATTTCATTTCATTTGGACCGCCCAAAACTCTTTTAAAGGAATATAATTTTATTTTTTTATATCGCGGTGAGAAAGAACTTGAATTGATTAAAAGTGAAAAAACATACTTTAAAAAACAATCGAAATTTAATGGGGTTATTTAAACACTTATTTATAATAATCTATACTGTTATATAAAACAACTAATACCTCTTTTTATTCTTAAAGGAATTTGATTTTTTTTTCTTTCCAAATATCTTCACTTATTTTGCAAAAAAACCGCATTCACGACAAATACACAAATCATTAAGTCCGTTTGATCTCCCACATGTTTCAAAATAAAGAATTTTTGTTGTCTGGTGGCACTACTCACGTAGACAGAAAAACAACTTGCTTAATTTCTTTTTCGTTTGTTTTGTTTCTGGGGTTGGTAAAGGATAATTTCGTTTCAAAAAGGAAATGTAGATGGATTAGTGAGATGTGCTTCCGAGCATAACAAGTCCAAAAGAGGGGGCGGGGGGAAATGAGACCCAATTTAAAGGAAGTGTGTTGCGGAGTTGGGCTTGACGACCCAATACCGTCTGATACCAAGTCTCACGGTTTTGTCCTTTGGCGTACAGATAGGCACCTTTCCAGGACGTTACCCAATTTGGGACTGCTCCCACCGAGCACGCTTAACTTTGGAGTTCCAAAAAGTAAGTATTGTCGTCACTTCAAAGGCGCCTCTAAGAGGCTTCCGCAATATTATTCTGTGAGCTTTCGTCTGTTTAGGTTCAAAGTTCAACCCTTTTGAAGTTAGAAAGGTCACCAAATCCAAATGCATCGACAGGTTTAGTCGGCTATGGAAAGAATACAAATTGACCATCCATGGAAGCAATGTAGCTTTCCATTCTACTCCTTCCTACCCACAAAATTAACAAAATAATTAAAAAAACATCATCGGATTTTTGCAAAACTGGAAATGCCACGTCATAAATACCGGTTTTTTTTTTTGGGCTAAAATTCATAAATACCAGTTGGGTCAACAGTTCTTGTGCCCCTTTGTTTTTTTTTTTTTTGGGTACCCCCTTCTTGTTAACCCATCTATTTTCCTACCAAATAAAACCATTACAAAACAAGCTGATTTCCCCCCCTTTTCTTCATTTCTACTATTGTAGTTGTCGGCGGCGCCGTCGTCGTCTATTTTTCTGTTTCGCTATTTCGTCACAATGCTTGATTGAAGAAGAAGCAAAGCCAAAATCGGATGGGTCTACGCCATCCTCATCTGCGTATTCCATTCGTTCCATTTCCCTTCATCTTCTATTATTCTTGAAGGCTAAGTATCCATCACTCCCCACAAGAGCTTGCAAAAACAGTTCAGAGCCATGGATGGACCCTCCACCCACTTTTGCATTGCGTACCCATCACATCACCCTCGCCTTGCAAAGAAGGCCACGACTTTTTTTTTTCTCTTTTAATTGCAAATTACTCCATAGCCAAACGTTTCCGCATATGAATCCATTAGTTCCTAGGGCCTGCTTGTTTAATGATGTTATCTAAACTCTCCCCGATCGATAATTTGCATCGTAGCATGAACGTCGCGTTCTTGCTATTTTAGGCTCGTTTTCTTGATGAGAACAACAAAGTGGGTCGATTAGAAAATGGAGATAAAATGGGAATTCAGGCTTCCCTCATGTCTTGCTGTATGCTGAACACGAGGATAGTGTGTACAAGCAACGTCGTGAAAAGAAAATAAACGGCTTGGAGAGAAGAACAGAAGAAGAGATGCCCTACAAGAAACAGCCGCCTCTAAAAGAATAACTTTGAAAGGGAAAGCCATGTTCTATTGACACCTTCTACTCAAAAGTTGGGTATACATGACCCGATCCGATCCGATCCGATCCGAACCGACCCCATGGGAAAAACAGGATGCAATTTTGAATGCCTGCCTCATTTTTTTTTTTTATATTTTATAGATTTTTTGGGGGGGACAACTTATAAAAGGGATTTTGTAGAGGAGATCTCAAAGACATAAACCTCAATGAGTCCAAGGAAGTCACCTTGTTACTTACAATCCCCCCAAAAAACTCCTACTCTTGCGGCTTTCGTTAGTTCCCAGTTGTTGGCCTATCTATTCCTCCAATGCACCAACCTAATCACCCACCATTAACACATACTACACAACCACAGAAGAGAGAGAGAGAGAGAGAGGCAAAATTACTTGAAAAGAGGAGGAAGCATGAAAAGCCTTGCAGGGCTCTCTTAAACGCCTTGAAACGCACACCACACCACCACCCATTTCATTTGACGCCTCTGTCCTAACTCCTCCCTGGAAGAGGCAACAGGAAGAAGAACGCCAATGGCCTCAGCAAGGAAGATCTTGAGAAGATCGATCCACACTTTCCTTCAAAACTACCACTACTTCACCTCTACATCTGCACTGCTTGCCCTGCCCTTCTCGGTCTCCATCCTCCTCTCGCAAGCCCTCGTTCCCGCCTCGTCGCCTCTCGCCCTGACGATACACTCCCGCCTCCGAGCCCTCTTCGACGCGGCTGGATTCCCGCCTTCCTCTGAATTCTTTGCCCTGCTTAACTTCAAGCTCTCGCAAACACTGTCCTCTTCGTTCCTCGCCCTCCCTTTCGCCCTCTCCTTCCTCCTCATCGCCAAGTCCTCCGTGATTCGGTCCCTCGCCGGCACGACGCCATCCGTCCCGTCCTCGCTCTCGTCATTCCTATCGATTTACAAGCCGCTCCTCGCCACTTACGTCTGCAACTGTCTCGTGATCCTCTCCGCCAACTCGACCGCCTTCTTCCTCCTCTTCTTCTCGTTCAACTGCCTCGGCGGAGCTCAGCCCGGTTCCTCGAATTACACCCTCCTGCTCTCGGCAGCCGGCGCGGTCCTCTACTCCATCATCTTAGCGCATGCTCTGGTGATATGCAACTTGGCACTGGTCTTATCAGGTATGGAGAGAACTGGCGGATTCGTTGCGATTCTAAAGGCGTGCGCCTTGATCAGGGGATCGACTTCAACTTCTCTTTCCCTGGCAGTGCCTGTGAATTTGGCCCTGGCCGGCACGGAAGCATTGTTTCAATTCCGGGTCATGAGGGCTTACGGCGTGAAGAACGGGCCAATATTTCCAGTGGCCATGGAGGGGTGGTTCATTGCCTATTTATATTCGATACTCATCGTTCTCGACACAGTCCTCACCTGCATTTTCTTCAAAAGCTGCAAGAAGAGTTCCATCATCCCACGCAGCGAAGATCAATGCTACTTCCGGATTAAAATCGGAGACTTCGACAACGGCGACATCAAAACTCCCGAGAACCTGAAGAGTTCAGAGTCAGGACAGTTGCTGAAGTCGGAGTTTTGAGGGGCCAGAGAGGGAATTTCCTTCTTGCTTGTACATTTCCGCCGACACGCGATATACGTAAATCAGAAGAATAAACATATAGGGCCTGAGAGACATGCTTTTTTTTTTTTTTTGTTGCTAGAAGAGAGAAATCAGGCAAACAGTCAGGATCATCAAGACATGAAAAGATCCAACTTGTACCCTGCATAGGAAGCCTAGGGCTTAAACCAGAGAGATCTACATGTGGAGGAGCCACCAGAAGCAGAGATTCTTTAGCTACATTTCACGTTGTTTCGCCTATGTCTGACATGGCTATTACCTTGGAGAAATAGGGTTGCTACTTCTCAGGAATGTGTCTTGGACGTTTGGTCTTGCTGGGTTTGTAATTGAGTGAACACCAAGCAGCACTTTGATTAACAATTGACCAAAATCATAAATGCACAAAGAATTCAGTTTTTTCTTTGTTGGGTTAAGACTTGCTCCAATTTTTACTAGCTATTGACAAGAAAACAAGCCTGTAAGGTGTGGCCATTTGAGAAACAAAATTATGGGAGTTGTTATGCAAGCTCCACTCAACCACCAATCATGCTCTAAAGGGACAAGAAAAGGCAATAAGAAGGACGTCTATTTTGCAAAATCAAGCAATTTTCAAGGATCAGTTCCATAGGATTATGAGAATTCCTCAAACCATATCAAATATATATACATAGACATTTCAAATGAGAACCAACTCAAATCGTAACCTTTTAAGTTTTCAAAATGAAGCAAATACTCGCATGTAGTTTGATTTGAACTCTTCAGTCTCATTTCAGAAAAGCTACAGTTACCAATCTGTTCTCAAGAGCAAACCACCACCCATTTCTAAATCTAATTATCTAAATGTGTCCATGGAAAATTCCTGTAGGTGAATTGCTTATGGAATGTTAACCGTTAAAAGACATGCAAAGTGGGATCGATGAGTTTCCTCGTAAACGATGATGGAACACGACATCAATACCTCGCACTGATCAAAACCGGCATTTAGCAACAGCTTAAACAGACGATTCCGGCTAAAACAACAGCAAAATACAAACAAGAAAGACACGCATTGGCCAGGGGAAAATTGATTGTTGTGCTGTATGAGAAACATATATTCAACTGAATGATATTATATATAACTACAATATACTATCCATTAAATAAGAAATACATGTATACCTAGTGTCTCGTATTCTCCGTCTCTTACCTACCTTGTAGTTGTTACCAAGCTGTTCAGCTTGACCGTGACCAAGAAAAATTACTAAAGTCCAAGTAGGTAATAAAAGAGCCAGCCCTTTTTTTTTTTAAGGTTATAATTGATAAAAAAAGTTAAACCTGCATATAACAGCACAAAGTGAATGGATGAAATGCAATACAGTACCCAAAAGCAAACCGTTCCCTCTCGCATAACTATCATGTTGCACTCCATACATTGGCTAATCAATGTATAAGAATTTCGTTGGCTTAGTGAACTACTCCATCCCTCAAGATAAAGCCAGAATCGGGCTTATATTGATCCTCTAATTAAAGCCTTGACTTTCTGCAGCTATATAAATATAGAACTACAAAAACATTCGGTTGCCAAATGCATTTCACCAGAATACAGAGGATAGAATGTGTTGCCTTAAAAGGATGACAAGAACATATTAATTTCTTAGTGCCTTTTCGGGTTGCACCCAGAAAGAAAAGTAAAGATTAACCCAGCCACAGGCAGCACACATCTATTAAAGTGTTGCTCGGGAAAAAACAATCTCTACGCTAGGGACGCGGTCCAGTGGTAAGGGAATGGGGTGGTGGGGACGCTAATATCATAAATGCGGGGTTTGACTCCCGTGCTCTGCAAAGAGGCAGAGCAAAAGCCCGAGAGAGGAGAGTCAAAGACAGGATACACTAAAAAGAATAACAATCTCCGGCTCTAAATGAGTGAAGCAGTTGAAAAGAACCATGAAAATAGATGAAAGTGCAACAATTAACCAAAGTTTGTTTACACTCTTTGGCAGATTTGCCCATCTTGTTACAGATGGTCATCAGCTGAATAGTAACCCGACCCAATGCAGTCCAAAGCAGAGTATTAAATCTAGTACAGGTCTCACCTCAAATACACTTCCACAACCAGAACCCAAAAGAATATATCACCTTAAAATAGTATCTATAACATGTTTGGCAAAATTTGCTGGAATCGATAAATTAAAGTACGAAGAGCACCATGCTGCTATTACTTCGGGCCAACGTCCTTAAGAGCACAGATCTGTTCCTCTCCCATTGAACACATCACAGACACCACCAGGTCCTTTCCATCAGCAAAACCATCCTTGATCTGCAAAAACCAGTAGAATTACTTGAGCTCAGCACAGATTTTCCATCGCAAGAACAAACAAACAGAGATGTAGATGATAATCTCCCATTGCTTAGATAACATAGATTAGTAAGAAGATATTTCAATCTTGCATTAACGCAGTGTTTGCACTGCTCACTGCTATCTAGCTTAAACTAGTGAAGAAACTTAGATTGGGTAGTCCTCATACACTAATTAACTAACCTGAGACAGCAAATTGTCATCAGTTGGGAGCCTCAGGTCATCCTTGGTGTTCCCATTTTCAGTTAGCAGACTCACCTGAAGAAAGAAATCTAGTCAATGCCTCTTGCAAAATCAAAGCAAACCAAATTAATAATGGTAGGGGGAAACCAAGGTAGCTCATACAAATCCATCCTCAGAGATGTCAATAAGCTGGTAGTCAGTACGAGTGACATGGGGAACCTGCAAGATGCAAAAAGCTATGAGCCCCCTCTTTAAAAAAAGTAGCAAAACAACCAAGTTACCTGATAGAGGGAATGTTTAGACACGTACATCACAGTTATGGGATGAGGGGACAATATCTTCGAGCTTCTTTCCATTGAAAATGTCAATTGCAACAAAGTGGCACTTGGCATGACCATGCTTCCCAGTCTTAGATGTGGAAACTTCAACAACCTTCAAGGTAAGAAAATGGTTTCACCCCAGAGACCAATGCATGCAGCCATAAATCTACCATAAAGCAAAGTGCAAGAATATAGCGGAAAAGTGCTCCCAAGGGATCTCAAGGAGTGATGATTTGTGCTTTTATCATGTATAAATTATCACTTAACATTGACATGATCCACCAGCAACAGACGAAATGTAGACACACTAGAAGAGAGAGCTAGCTACACAACAAATGAACACTCTGTAATTTACACTCCGATAACATGGTTCCAGACGAATATTACACATCCACTGAAAAGAGCACCATCCAGTGAGCAATAATCAGGCTGGACATGAAAGGATTTCTTCCGAAATCACACAGCAGATCAAAGAGAAAAAGGAAAAGCAACTAACAGAAGAACAGACCAAGGGACACAAAAGGGACAGCAGTGTTACCAACAACAAGAGTCCCGAACACTTGATCGCGCCGTGTCGTGACCATGTAAATATCAAATGAATCCAGATGCAAATTTAGTACGAATCGCAAACAGAAGTCCACACCAGCAAGTGACTCACGACTAAGATTAACTGACAGCACCCCACCAGTAAGGGACAGATCCCATTTCCCTCGAATTTCAGGCACGACACATACGCATATTCATCGAACCTCGGCGTTCACTTCAGAAAAAAAAAACAAAAAACCCACCAAATCCCGCGAGATAACGACAATTAGCCAACAAGTGTAGAAATCGACTCGCAAGAACATCATCGCATCTCCAGCACCAGCGCAGAAAATCCAACAACAGTCAACTAGCGAGGCTTAAGAAGCCAAACGGATCTCGATCGGAATCACCAGAAGAAACAAGAAAAAAATGACCAGGCCCTATCGAAAGCCACACTCGCACGAAGCAGAAAAACCTCCCGATCCATCGCATCCCCTAGATCCCGCATCGCGGCACGAGCAAGCAGGCGCCAGTCCGATAAACCTAGAGACGGGCGCAAACGACTTACCTTGCAGGGACGCCCCTTGATGACGATGTACCCGTTCTTGCGGATCGTGCCGGCCTGCTGCGGGTAGGTCTTGGAGGCTCCGGCGTCGGCCTTGGACTCGAAGTGGTGCTCCTCGTCCGACATGGCGGGCGACGACGCGGCGGCGGCGGCGGCGGCGGCTGATCGGCGGCGAGTTCGGGGCTCGGCGGTACCGGCGCGTCGTTCGCGGAGCCCGAGACGATGGCGAGACAGAGAGAGAGAGAGAGAGAGGAGAGAGAAAGGGAAGGGGGAGGGGCTTTTATATGTATGCGTTAAAATCGTACGGCTTTTCTAAGGTTGATCGGGACGCGCTAGGGTTTCATCCGGGGGAGGGGATCGGTGGGGCCCGATTGGTTTTGGACCGTTGGATCGGGTTCCGAGAGTCGTGATCGGACGAAGGACAAGAGAAGAGGTGGGGGTTTGGCGTGTTCTGGACGCTAGAGATTTGATCTTTTATGCTTATCAAGAGTCAATTTCGTGTATTATTATTACTTGATAAGCGTATCGCCCAAAGAATGGTATAGTTTATCCAAAAAAAGAAAAAAAATAATGACACAAAGGACATCTGAATTTTAATCTAATGTGTAATATGATTTTTAAATTTTTAATTTATTTAATTCAATTCATAAATTTTAGCTTAATGTTTAATGTGGTCTTATAACTTTTATACATATTCAATATGGTCCCTAAATCTTTGATATAATATTCAATATAATCTTTGAACTTTATGAAACTGTTCAATGTAATTTCTGAACTGAATTAATAAAAAGACCACATTGAACATTTTCATGGACTAAATTGAACATGTATCAGATATTCAGGGACCACATTGAATATTAGGCTAAAGTTTAGGGACCGCATTACATATTGGGTTAAAGTTTAGGGACCGTATCAAATAAATTAAAAGTTTAGGGATCATATTGCATATTGACCTAAAGTTCAGGGACTATTTGTGCCATTTTTTCCTTATCAAATGGGGCCAAGTATTCACAATCTTCAAATCATCTGTCGCAAATGACAAATTTTGTAATCTGTACAAGTAGATGAAATTAACGAAAACTGACGATCAATCCACTATGCTCAGCCATTTTACTGCGCGGTTCGACCGGAAGAATCTTAGAACTCGTCGACTCGAACAGCATCGCGGGCCATTTCGTACGCGTCCCTAGGCCGCGACTTCTTGACGCCCCCAGCCGTGAACCAGATCTTGTCGGACTTGTGGCTCTCGACGGCCACGCCGGCGATCTTCACCCACACCAGGACCTTGGTCTTCATGCCTTCAATCCCGGCGAGCTTCCCACGGGAAAGGGTCCCCTTGACGCGGCTCGCGTACCTCACGATGGACCCGTCCTTGAAGCTGGCTTCGCAGGCGGAGGGCATGTAGACAACGAGCTTCGACCTGGACGCGTCGAGCTCGTAGCACGTGATGTTCTGAGGGAAGAGGCCCGGGGGGAGGTTGTGCTCTCGGAGGAGATCCGGCAGCGCTTTCGGCGGCTTGCCTGATCGAGGGAACGAGCAAAAGGCATCAGCAAGGGAACAGCAGATGCAGGGCTTCTTGAAACTCTCTTGTTAGATTCAAGAAAACAGTCTGTACAATATCTGTCAAGGACTAAGAGTTCCAACCAAAATTGATCTGGGCGAAATTCAAGAATCAATCACACAGATGCAACAAGAATGCAGCAGCAAAACGTACCTGACCTGACCCAGTTATTGTCACTGTTCTATTGCAATAGCCAAAGTGAAAACAGTTCAGTACCTTTCAATTTGTTGATGACCCACTTCGCCTTCTCCTCGACCGTGCCCGATATAGACTGGACACACGCGCGCATTAACAAGAAAGAGCGTCAGGACATAAATATGATGGGTTAATGAAAGACGCGGTCTTATCGGGTTTTTCGGGATTGAATAACCCTCTGTCTATGCCTGAAAATGTTTGAACATATTTCGCTTATGATTGTCCAGTGACTCTTCGGACTGCCCTCTTCGCAACTGGTGCAAGAAGAGAGCACTCTCGAGTAAACTGACTGAGAAATCAGGCAAGTACTCGAGAGCCAAAGCTAGTGGTATGCAGAGAGGCAAGACACAAAACAAAGGCACTTCAAAGTGTAACTAGCAGTATGCAGAGAGAGGAATGGCATAAAACATCAGATCTATAATGACTTAAAGCGAACTACATATGTTTGCAGTTCATGCATATCAGCCCGACCCCCTTATGCAACCATACCAAGAATAACAATCAGGACACGAAACAACCTTAATGAACAAGAAAGCTATTTGTCGAGCCATTACCAATATGCACACAACTACCATATGCTAAGAAACCATTGCAGACATTCTTATTATAGGTTCATGGAACAACAAGATCTACCAAACCAGATCAATGCAGATGTGATTAAAACGGAAAGTTCTTGAATGATTGTGAATGTGTTCGTACCGAGAGGTCGCCCGCGATGTTGGAGAACTCTTGCTTGGCTTTTTTGGCTATCCAAAAGCTCCCAACCTTGGTCATTGCTTTCTCCATTTCCTCTGTGTCTTAACTCACTGGGAGAGGACAAAAGAAGAAGAAGCTCTCAGGCCAAAACCGCACCTCCTAAAAATCTCTCACTTTAATGTGCCACCAAATGACATTCTAACCACTTGCCATAATCAACTAAAAATGAGTGCCCCACTGATTTTCATTTGTTACGTTACGTTCTGGATCAAAAGACCTTGATGGGGCGACAAAGCATTTCCAATTCAAATGTATTTTAATCTATCTCCCTTGCATATGATTTTGGCACTTGTTCCCTCACTGTTCGTAAATACCACCATAGATTTCAATAAGGTCACCGACACTTGTCAATGCATTATGCATACGACACGAATCGAGACATCACACTAAAGCGGAGGAGGTATGCATCCTTTGGCTCACATAATCCTTAGCTTCGGTGATCTTGAGAGGCACGTTTTCTGTTTAATGGGCATACTTGTTCCATTTATTTCCTCCAGCAGGTCACACGGCTTGGAGTTTGTCTGCCGAGTTGGTGGAGTGTCCCTTATCCCCCGTTAATTGCACTGTTGGGTCCAAGTCTTAAGAAGACTTCGTTTATACTTTAGGTATAATTTAAGACAGTGATGACAGCATTTAATTATGGTAGTATGGACTGCTACAGCACACCTAAAACGTCCTTACACTTTTCATCTTTTACCTAAAAACTGGTAAAAATCTTTTGGGTGACTCCAAATTTTCATGCTTATGTGTTTTTTTGTGATTTTAGGTGGGTAGATGTTATACTGAATATTACTAATTTAATTGAATATTTTATAGCGGGTGCGAGACACTTACTATAACTCTAAGGAAAAGTCAATAGCACTTAGCCCTGTTCATCACCTTTTTACTAGGTGATAAAAAGAAGGCCGAAGATGAAACCCGGAATCGAATCAAAGGGCCACAAATTTTCCCTTCAGTAACGAAGGGGTCATTGCGATGAAGAGATCATTTTGCCATTCACGAAGAATGGGGCCAAGAATGGTTTTTCTTAGAAGGCGTGAAGGGTTGAGACTTGACATCATATTGCCCCTTAAAAGGCGTTATCGTAAGTTTAAATCCCGACATATGTAATTCCTTAGTGAGCACCTACTATACGATTGCGCTAAGATGGGATGGTAGTGATCCGATACAATTAGTTGGGTAGTTTAAAAAAGGAAAAATTGTCCAAAAAGCTATAAACCTTTTAATTGTACCAATTGAGATTTAAACATTTTCACATTTTGCCAATTGAGTCAATCTAATCAATTTTGGCTAGGAATCGCTAATGTGGACATTAGCCGTCCTATATGGCACGGCCGACATTGACATAGACCATTATAAATAATATTTTAATATTTTTGGAATATTTTATTGATTTTTTTCCTTTTCTTTGTTTTTATTCCCCAACTTGTCGGCCAAAGGTGATGGCGTTGTTGGTCCTTGCCTAGATTGAGGCGAGGGCCACGACGTCCTTGTTGGCCACAGGTGATGGGCTTGTGACCCTCGCCTGGGTTGGGCAAGGATTGCTAGCCCTCGCTGGCCGACCATCTCTGGCCACAGTTGGGGAAGAAAAACAAAGAAAAGAAAAAAAAAAGGAAAAATAAAAAATTTGAAAGAAATTACTAAATATTGATCACGTCAACGCCGGCTGTACCACGTGGGATGGCCAGCAGCAATTTCCGGTCAAAATCGGCCGGATGGACTCAATTGATAAAGCGTGAAAACGTTTATATCTCAATTGTCACAATTAAAAGGTTTATGACTGAATTGGCAAAAGTGCAATAGATTTAGGACTTTTTGGACAATTTTCCCATTTGAAAGATAAAAGACAGGCAATATTAGCAAAAGCAAAGGGGGTGCAAAACACATACATTCTTCGAGGATTGAACTTCTCGTTCAGATTACGTACTTGAAGACTTGGCCTTGTTTTCTTCCTTTCTTCTTTCGCATCTCTCTTTTGGACCAGGATGCGATCTCCTCTTAGACAACCAGAGATTAGATCAACTGAGTTTTTTCTTGCGCCTCAATGTTAAAGCCCATCTCATCGGCTGGCTCGAAGTTTCATATTCACCACACTTTTCACGCATTTACCATTTTTGCGTACCTTATTTTTTAGGAAAAATACCACAAAAAATCCCAAACTATGTCACTTGTGACAAATTTACCCTGAACTTTTTTCTGTGATACGAAAAATCCCAAACTATGCCACTTATAACACATTTACCCCACAATACTTTGACCCATGAGCATTTTCATCTTTTTCCTTTTTCTGTTTTTTTTTCCTTTTTTTTTCTTTTCTTCTCCAGCAAGGGCAGCCCTTGCCAGCGTCGGGCGAGGGTCGCCCTCGCCTTGGCGGGCGAGGGCAGCCTCGCCCGACTCAGGCGAGGGCTGCCATTGCCGGATCTGGCGAGGGCAACCCTTGCCCGATGCCGGCGAGGGTTGCCCTCGCCAAATCCGGCGAGGGCAACCCTCGCCCGACGCCGGCGAGGGCTGCCCTTGCCGGAGAAGAAAAGAAAAAAAAAGGAAAAAGGAAAAAGACGAAAATGCCCATGGGCCAAAGTATTGTGGGGTAAATGTGTCACAAGTGGCATAGTTTAGGGTTTTTCGTGTCACAAAAAAAAGTTCAAGGTAAATTTATCACAAGTGGTATAGTTTGGGATTTTTTGTATCACAAAAAAAAGTTCAGGGTAAATTTGCCATAAGTGGCATAATTTGGGGTTTTTGATGGTATTTTCTCTATTTTTTAAAGGGTCAAATTGAACCTTAAGCTTTCGAATTAAACTCCAGATTAGACATGCTATCGGTTAAGCTTATTGTTCTATCTACTACTTTTCAATTATTTTTCGAAAAAAGAAAACCCTTACTTATCACGAAGAATTGTAATCTTTCTCTCCATATAAATATCAGCTCATCATCGTCAACCTCCACGTCGTTGTTTGTTTCCTCTCTCTTTCCACTATTTGGGAATCCTACCTCCTCTGGATAGTACCCACGTGGCAGAGTTAGTGAAGTTGAGCTTCGACTTGCCGAGGAGCTCGACCCTATGCAAGCTCGTCGCTATTGCCGTCTCAAACCTCACGGGTGGTGGGGTGTAGAGAGAGAGAGAGGGAGAGAGAGAGTTGTTGCGGAAGTAACCGATCGAACAGTAAAATATACAGAACAAAAAAATAAATCGAATATCAGATTTACGTGATTTGACCAATGTGACCTACATCCACGAGTATAACAACAAAAAGTTTCATTAAAGATCAATCGATATAACGAAGACAACTCAAGTGATCCAAAGAGTCACTCGAACACTTTTAGTATTTCTCAGTCTTCAATTACATCTAATTAGGAGTGTCAACATAACCTGCGCCGGCTCGGCCCGACTCGCGCCGACCCTATCCATTCCTAAAATTTAGGGTATTTTAGGGTCGGGCTTTAGTTTTCTTCGAATATGGCCCTAAAATTTGGGGTATTATTAGGGTTTGGGTATTTTAGGGTCGGCCCATTGACACTCTGGGCCGACCCATCTCCCTCTCTCAGTCTCTCTTCCCTTCTCTCTCCCCTCTCTTCTCTGGCGCGCTACGCAGAGCGTGAAGAAAAAACCTAGATCTCTCTCCGATCGGCGACGAAACCGATCGCTTCCCTTTGTCGTGAGCCTCAGCAGCCGAGCAAGCAGGTGAGCGATATCTCTCCGCCGTGAAGCCGTCGCAGCTGCTCGTGTATATGGAACGGTCTGCGCGCTGAGGACCGGATCCGGGGGCGGCAAAGTCCGGAGTTGGGAGGCGCTGGGCTCGGACATCGTACGGAGGCCGATTGTGTGGCCAGCGAAGGATTTGGCCAGTGATTCGGTGGCCGCGCGAGCTCTGACGGTGAGTTTGAACTGCTGGGGTTGGTTGGGCTCGTTGTGTGTTTCGCGTTCTTGTTCGACCCGCGGCTGTGGAGTTGATGATTGTTTCGAAAGAGTTCTCGGAGCATGTTTCGTGGGTATGGAGGTCGTCGTTTGGTTTTCATTTTTTTTTTAACCTTAGAATTCTTGGGTCATGAAATTCTGTCTTCGTTTTGCGCGTTGAATGCGACCTGAGCTTGTCTTGCTGTTTCTGTCCGCGGTGCTGTTTGAGTTCGAGGTTGGTTTGGCATTTGCAAGGTGACTAGATCCTCCGGTTCTCGTGTTTGGTAACGAACGAGAGTTCCAGAAAACGGAATCGCTTTGTTGCGATTGTGCTCTTGCTTTGCCATAAGCTGGATTTTGTCGGGAATTTCCGGGTTTATTAAGGATGGGTCGGTTGAAGTTCATGAGAAATGATGAATTTGTTCTCCGTGGAGATGGGTTTGTTTTCTTGGAGCATCTGTGTTTTTTGATGCTGTTTGAATTGTGGCCTGAGATGGGATGGCTTCACGCGTCTGTTGCTTTGGGTCGATTCTTGCATATGTTTAGTTTTCTTGGACTACTACAGTTTTAACAGAAGTATGGTAAAACTATTTAAATAGCTGGTAAACTATCCCTTTATATTTTTACTACATAGTGTTTGGGTGAAGAATGAATCACAATTAAGGGAACCTCATGGAAAAGAGGAGGGCAATGAACCAAGTATATGGATTCCTCAGCATATCCCTTTATAGTTTTTACATTTTCCAATGAAGTTTTCACCAACTAGCAGATTGTTCCTTCTACATCCTGATAGATTTCTACATGGGTAGGTATGTATTGCTGTGTATTTACTGCCTACATTTAGCTTGAGGTTATTGAAATAACGAAATCAATAACAATCTCATTATTATTCTCCAGTCATTTTCAACACGCATGAGCATGTGAATATTCCTTTTTGAGGTCTGTGTTCTCCTGCTGTTTTGTGTTAGTTTAACTGAGCATGTCCTGCTTGGAGATTAACATTTTCCTGTCATGTAGAATGGCAGGTTTTGTACACGACCCAAGTAACTCAAGAGGCCAAGAAATACCACGATGGTTTTTTGCAGCTTGAAGTTCGCGGATCCTTAGGGCGGCCGGTCATTCCAAAGCACTTTCAAGGACGCTTTCATCCTCAAGCAACTGTTTTTTCATTAAACTTCGCTGGCCACTTTGTTTGCTGATCCAACATGATGCACTTCTGTTTTTTGGATAGTGGCTCATTATGTGCTCCAACTATCACACTAATTCAAGTGCATTTCACTACCCAAAAAAGTTCAAAGGCCTTTCACACCCCTTATTTATAGTTCCTGGAATTACTTTTCTGCTCATTGTTTTCTTCCCCTTGGATCATTCAGGTCACACTGTATGATGCTAGCAGGAAAGTCTTGTTGAATAAATTTCTCAGGAAAGATGAAGTATTGGGAACTGGAAAATCGCTGGTAGTTGATTCTCACTTGGTCGATATTGGGGAGCATGTAGTAAAAGAAAAGGTACCAATGGGTTTGAATGATCGTGAACCATGTCACGCCGCTGGAGAAATGGGGACAGGCCATGGGGAGGTGGATGGTGCTAAAGTTGATCAATCAATCCTGGGAGGTCGCAGCATTATTGATTCATCCAATGCTATTCAGATGTTTCAATAACTTTATTGTATTCAGTTGTAGTTTTCCTTAATGCATCCTGTTTGTCTAGCTATGTCCTAGTGAATTACTGAGGGTTGTTTACGTGGAACTGTGGGTATTAAGATGTTACTATCTGCGCGAAAGCGAAAAAAAAAAAAAAAAAACCCCCCCCCCGGCCCGGCCCGGCCCGGGCCTTGGGGTGTACGGTGAACAGGGTCTTGGGTGGGTCTGGGCGGGTCAAGCATGACCCTGTAGGTTTCGGATCGGGTCGGGTATCAAGAAAGCCCGACCCGATCCGACCCATTGACACCCCTACATCTAATAACTCATACAATATTTAGTCCAATAATTGCTCATGAAATAATATTTCAATATCACGAAGGAATTAACAAAATCTCTCGGCCAAATCACTGGTACTTTTTTTCTCCAATCTCACACACGAAGAAGACACCGAGATGTACTTACCCACAGCCCAAGCTTATCAACAACGGTGCCAAAATTAACGCATGACCAAAATATATATACATATATATACAAAACCGTCTTAACCTTTGCCGACTCAAAGGATTTTCGTTCCAACATTTTGAACCTCCCCACTTTTCTTTGGAAATCTTTTTATGGTTTATGCATCAAAATATACAAGAAGGCGAGATAATTATGTTGATGTGATAGCTGGATCTTTAACAGTCATATAAGGGACATAAGTCGGCCATGCATGAGAAAAATTGATATTAAGGACTCAAAAACTTTTGAATGGGCAAAGACATCGTGCGAGCGTCCGGATAGGATTTGGGACAAAATTTGAGAGCAATTTGGGGAAGATCTCAAATAAGGTTCTTCAGATTTGGGAGAGATTGAGCGAGAGAGCAATCGAGGAATTTGGAAAAAGAAAGAGCGAGCGAAGCCGTTTTGATATCTTCAGGGGACTTTTTTTAATATGAAACGGCATCGTTTTTATCTCGACGTCCACCTCAACGTCACCCATGTCACATAGGCTAGCTGGCATTGATTGGGTATCCACGTAAGCATTATTTCAAGCGGAATTGATCGGGATGACTAAATTGATAAATTGTCAAAAGGTTTACGACAAAACTGGCAAAATTACAAAGTTTAGGACTAATTGGCCACCGCACAATAGGTTTATGATTTTTTGGACAATTTTACTTAATTTTATTTCTTAATGGAAACACATTTAGAAAAACCATAGATAAGGAAGGTATTTTTCGAATTTTTCGCACGTCACACAATTAGTGACCTAATCGAAATTTTCATAAATGTCGTCCAAAATCCAGGTGAACCAATAATTATCTTAATTTACTAAATATTATCAATTAATGTAGAAAATTCCGGATGTGACGGGATGCCTAACATGTAGTGTTTTTTTATGTGAGGACTAGAGATGCAAGAGTGTCGTAGTGTTTTTACTTATGCGGATGATACTCACTTGTAATCTTTTGTCTATGTGAGGGTTAGCTTACCCACAGGTGTGATTTTGTATGCATAATTCGGAATTCGGGCACTATTTCCCGCCGACCATCAAACTAATGCATTAGATATTCACACGCACAAACAAATATTACTAGTCGGAACTCGTAAACCTCATACCAACTTACCAAGCATGTCGTTTGGCGAGAGCAAATGGTTCAGCCAAAAAAAAAAGAGATAAAAGAAAGGAGAATTTTATTAACGAATATCCTGAAACTTATTGAACATATTTCACGAAAATTTTTTCGTTAGTTGTAATGCACTTGTTGGTTGCTTTAAAAAAGTCCCGAGCTAGAGATTTGGTGCTACTTTGGGCAATGAATATATCTTAGTTGGCCCAAATAAATTTTTGGGTTAAATTTTTTATTGAAGATAGGTTCAATAAGATATGTTGATTGGTCATATTAGAGCTACCATTTTGGTGATCCCCTAGATGATAGATATCGGGTTTCTATTACACATCATGCAAGTGGTATCAGAACCAATGGCTGATTGGTGGGCCCCGAATATATTTTTGTGTCTGACGCAATATCTCGAGCAAGAAATTGCAGTGACCATGGCAGTTGTTGAGGCCATCATGATTGATCTTTTGGAGAGACCGTTAGTGAATACGTATCCAACTGGATACGTTGACGAGCTCGGATTTGAGTTCTCTCTTGACAATCTCCTCTGTCGAAAGTAATTGAGCTTTCGTTATGCAACCCAACACTCTTTATAAAGTATCAATTACAAATTTCATGAGATAATAATTGAAAACTACAGCTTTCCATCATTTGTCTGTGTAAAAGGATCTGATACACCCTATATATATAAAGCCACAACAAAGTGCACCTATAAGTAAGGATAGGGACACGAACCCCGTAGACAAAACACGAGTAATTCTTGGAGCCCTAGTGGTATTGATGAACAATTGAATATTGGGATTTTGCTGAATCGTCCAGATTGGAATCGCAATTTCCGGCGTGCAGACACCGCCGTGCATGATGCAGCCATTGATGTCCCTCTCTTTTCCTCCACTTCACTTCTCCACAAGAAAGCAATAGATTTTGTCTATTGACTTTCTCTTTTCTATTTTTGTTAATTTTCATGTAAAATTTATGAAAGATGTTAGAATATTTATAAACCGCGTCTTTGTCTAACATATTAAGTTTTTAGGACAGTTAGCAGTGATCTCATGAAATCTCACATGATATTTGAGTAGGAGGTCTTGAGTTCAAATTTTTACGGGCTTTATTTGCCTTCCCAGTTGCATATTTCCACGCCTTAGGCTTAGGCCAAAGTCCAGCGAGAGATGGATTCCTACACTTTAAGAGGTTTGGTGCTTGTATGAAGTTCTCATCTAATTACCCGAAAGAAGAAAAACATTATACAGAAAGCTCATCGAAAAGAGTAAGTGTGAGCTCATTGATGATGGATTTGAAAACATTAATCTCAAGCGTGCCGTGCCCTCTCGACATAGTTGACGACAATTCGAAAAGCTCGATAATCTTTTTATGCAATCATGGATTAAGTGAAGATAATCATTAACCAATGCTCCTCACTTGTTGCTCGTTGCAATAAGAATTGTCACAATCCGAGTGCGCAGTCCTATACATGAAAAGGACTCGGAAAAGGAGGGAAGATCTCGTAGGTAGTATCTCTGGCCTCAGGCCAATTTGCTGCCTACATTTTTAGGACATGGGAGTATGTGCAGGTGGGAAATGAGTGAGTGACATCAAGTCATTGGGAAAAGAAAGAAAAAGATAGGAAAGACCCCGTTCTTTTACGGCGGCCCCCCTTGCACGTGCTCCTCGTTTTATTGTCATTCGACGAGGACACTCGAGAAGTGCTTCTCCACTCACCAAAAGGGTTCTTAACTTTATCTTATGGTGCCCGGGGAATCGTGTCGGTTCGTGATTTGCGGTAAAGATTAACTTTGTTTTCGTCGTAATCCAATTATAAAGTTAGACTTGATCAATCAGTGGATTTGGACTGGACAATCCATTTTATCTGATCTAAAACTCCCCATCGTCTGAACGTGGTTAAAGGATTGTACGAAGATAAATCGAATTTGAGTGGACCAACGATGTGAGCGAACTCGAACCCCAAAAAGAAAATCACCGACTTTAAGCCCGTTAAAATTGTGCTCCGAGCCTTGTTAGCTCGGGCAGGTCCAGGGAGCCGTCTTGCATATATATTTAGTTGTACACATGGTATCATGAAACGTTATATTGTCTAAGACTAATTTCATCATAGATACTTTCGTTTCATCGTAAATAAACAAAGAATGTTGATAATTGTTACACTGCTTTGTATTAGGCGACACAAATGAACTAATACAATACAAGGGCATGATGCTCGCGAGCACCATGGATGGGGCCACACCAGATATACACATTTTGTTTGATTCCTGATTTGCAAAGAAAGAAGACGTTTTATTTGGTTCATAATTTCCAAAAAAGGAACAGTATCCCTCTCTCTCTCTCTCTCTCTCTCTCTCTCTCTCTCTCTCTCTCTCTCTCTCTCTCTACCCTTGCTGTCTTTAAATTGGGATGTGCATGGGCCAAGTGAATTAGTAGTGTCTCTTGCAAAGAAAGAAAGAGAGAGAGAGAGAGAGAGAGAGAGAGAGAGAGAGAGAGAGAGAGAGAGAGAGAGAGAGAGAGAGAGAGAGAGAGAGAAATGGTCAAGAATTGATCTCAAGAAGAAGCAGCAAGGATGTCTCCCTCCTGGAGCTGAGAGATAGGTTGGCAGAGTTTGCTGCAGTTAGAGGATGGGAAAAATACCACAGCCCCAGAAATCTCCTCTTAGCATTGGTACATACGCATCATACATAATCACATCTCTTTAATCGACCACGTTTTCATTGTCAGTTCGAGTTTCCCGCCTATCTCCTTCTTTCATCGGGAACACTGTTACTGAGAAACAAAAGGGCTCATTGAGATAATTTGTCAAATCTTTGGCCACGAGCGTTAAGGTTATGCGGGAACGCAATAGTTATAATTGTAGAAGAAAGCTTATAAGATCAAAACCTATATCTAGACTATAAGAGCTTATGATAAAATAGGTGACTAACTGATTGGTGATGGATGATGCAGGTGGGGGAGGTGGGAGAGCTATCGGAGATATTCCAGTGGAAAGGGGAAGTGGAGAGAGGGCTCCCCAACTGGAGCTCCAACGACAAGGAACACTTGGAGGAAGAGCTGTCGGACGTGTTGCTCTATCTGGTCCAACTGGCCGATGTTTGCGGGCTTGACCTCGGCCAAGCTGCTCTCTCCAAACTCATCAAGAATGCTCGCAAGTACCCTGTCGTCAAACCCTAATCAATCAGCTTTTCCATAGGCAATAAGAGAGGGAGAGAGAACGAGAGCTTCTTTTTTTGTCGCCTTTTATGTGAACTCCGAGTGTGATATCTAGTCGGGTTCATCTGAACTGTCGAATGGTTTATAATGCTGAATTCGATGAAAATCGTATTGAATCTTGTAGGCTTCACCAAAGTCCGATGGAATAGGGTGTGCGCGCGCGCAACAAGAACATGCAATGATGTCGCTATTGGGTTGGGGACAAGTAATTTTATACTTGTGTTCATCGCATAGATGAAGTGATGATTCTCATGTGGAGTCCTGGACTCTGAGAGGGTCAAACATTTAATGAATGCAGCACTAGTTCCTGTTATCGTGAGGTCCGAACTCTTTCTGTTGAGTTTCTTTCAGTGTACTTTTCGGTTTTATTTGTGGAGTTTGTGGTGTCGTGGAATCGATGAATCATATTGCACGTGGGTTTTGCTAGCATAATAGTTTTTGGATCACTGTGAGAGTGAGAACATGTTGTGAGCCACAAATTCTTAAATGAGTAATTTCCACAATAATTTATAATTATTTATTATTTATATTTTTGTGGTCTAGAATATACTGTTATGTTATTTTTATAGTAGATTAAAAACTGTTACTTAATCATTTTGAGCGTAAGGCTAGCCTAACGATGAGGCTTTTGTGACGGTAGGAACGGTCAAATGGCAGCCACACTTTTTCATGGAGGAAAATGGGAGGTTGGTTCCACCCGTTTCAATTTTTTTTTTATTATTTGACTTCCCATGGCTTCCTATTTGCTTGGCTTAATTTGGGATTTAGAGGATTCAAAAAGGCTGTGGAATTTTTTGAATACGAAGAATGAAAAAGAAAATAAATATCAAAATATTTCAATACAAACTCCATCCATCATAAGAAGGTTAGAAAAAAATTATTAAACATTGTATGCCTAAAATTCGACGTCAATAGATAGACCTTTCTCCATGTTTATGCGTTCATTGATTACAAAATTCTAAAATAATCGGAAGTTCAAAATATATTAGAATTCACATTCTTATTTTTTTTGAGTTATTTAAGTTTCTTTAATTTGGAAACATCCCCAAATCTTTTCTTTGTTCGAAGAATAGTATCCACTATTTCAAAAGTTACAATTTAAAACTTTTGAGTCTACTTAAATCTTTTTTTTTTGGGTGGAACAATATCCATCTATTCTTTTCTTGGCCGGAGAATAATATCCACTATGTTAAAAGTAGCAATTGAATCATTCATTATTACTTATTGTTTGAATATTATCACTTTTTTTTTGGTAAGATACAATGAATATTATCACTTTGATTTGTTTTTTTTAATAAAAAAAAGATCTCATCTTTGGCTTTTTTAAATAATAAAAATATTAAACCTGCTAAGTGAGTCTCCCATTTTCCAACTACAAAATTTGTGGCCAAGGTTGGTCAGTCCACTTTGTAAACGAACGACACCGTGATGTACTCGTTTCCATTTAAGAAAATCGAAGGTTCTTATGATGTGAAAACGCACTGATTTTAACCTTTATGGAGATGCTTACAACCCTCAACCTCAAAAAAACCAAAAACAAAAAAAGAAATCTTGCTCTTTGAATAAATCATACATCGTCAACGACAAGTGACACACAAGAAACGGGAAAAGCATACTAGAAGCACCATAACTTTCGCATGGCGCTCAGTTTAGTGCTAAAACTTTTCGCCAGATCACTTAAGTGTTAAATCAGAGAAAAAACGATTATTTAAGTACCTCCGGTGATAAATTGTAGCCAAATTTTAAGTAGATATTATTATCTGCGTGGATTTTTTTTTATAAAAAAAATAAAGTCCATGTCATCTACATCTTTGGTCAATCAAGGACCCGTCCTCCCTCTGCATTCACTATCTGTGGTCGCCGTTGCTACTCTTTGACTGGTGAGGCAAATTGTGCTCCCTCTGCCTACGCTGCGTGGCAGATTATTTTTGGTCGACTAGATCTAGTGTCCTAGCGACGGAGCCGATAAGATTTGGACAAGTGGCTCGAGTGGAGAAAACGGGCGAAGGCTTGGTGATTCTTCTTCTTCAAGCGACCTTTGGCGCAACTGTATCGATGAGCCTTCCCATTGTGATGACGCTAGTCAATAAGTAATTGATTTAATCCCTAAGTTGTTTCAACAACAATAGAGGAAAGCATTTCTCAGTTTCACCGCAGTCTAGACTTTCTCCATAGAGTTCGATAAATTCTAAATATGGCTTCAAATTCCTCCCTGATTTAGCTTCTACTTTCTATTTTGTTTTGTTTTGTTTTGTTTTGTCTTTTTCCATTCTCTTGCTGTTTGCCAAATTCCATTGCCATTGGTTGCGCAGTGAAGGGGGAAATTGAGTTTTCAAGGAAGGTGTCCGATGGAATGACAAAGCTGAACTCTATTTCGATGAGTTTTTGTTCGAGATAGTGATTCATCTTGGGTCTTCTTCATTGTCCTCGAGTTGCTAGAAAACCGCCACTGCCGTTGTTCTGCATCGAGCGCATAGCCATGCCAAGCCGACCTCTGTTCGCCCCTATTTTCGGACACCATTGCTGAAGAGCTCATGCCACGGCCACCACTGCTTCACTCGTTAAATCCAATCCTCAAAGTTGCTTTCCTGACTGTCTTGTTCAGGTTCAATCCTTGATTACTTAAGGTAATCCTCTTATACTCGATCAATCATGCTTGTCTTCATCAAGTCTTGTCTGAAATGGGGTTTTAATAATTTCGGAAAATGGCTTGATCCGTCAAAATTATGATTTATATTTGGGGCAAAAATGTAAACAACGCCATTTCAGACTATTAATGCTGACTGAGCAAGCCGATGAGCTAAGTGGGTCGAAAAAAATTACCACGTCGGATTTCGAGCGTCCCAAATCGAATTAGGCACTTAAGTGATCGTTCTTTTTCAAAAGCGATACTAAAGTGATCCAGCGAAAAGTTTTGGCATCAAAGTGAGTGTCGTACGAAAGTTATGACACTTCTAGTATTATTTTCCCCACAAGAAACCAACTATCAAAGCTTGTTTTTCCGCACGAATTGTATCCGAGTTTGGGTAGTAGACATGATCCGATGTTATAGACTAAATGAGAGAGTCCTGCTCCTTTTAATTAAGACCCAACACAGGTAATTGCTTAAGCCGTGTAATTAGTGGAATGATGATTAATACATATTCTAGAAACGCCCAATTAGTAGGATTGGACCCGTCAAACGGGTGGATCAGGTCGGGTCGAAATTGATCCGACCCAAATGGGAAAATTACCAAAAAAGTCCTAAACCTTTTGCAGTTGTGCCAATTCAGTCCTAAACCTTTTGCAAGCCAGCCAATTCAGTCCTTTTGGCCGGCCGGCATCCACGTGGCAATATTTTAATATTTTTTTATTTTCGAATTTTTTTTCCTTTTTTCGTTTCCTTCTCCCTCCTGGCCTGTCCGGCCAGGCGGGAGGCTCGCTGGCGAGGGCCCAGCTCCGGCAAGGCGAGCTGGGCCCTCGCCGTCGCTGGGCGAGCTTGCCCAGCTCCGGCGAGCTCGCCATGGTTGGGCGAGCTCCGCCCTTGCCCAGATCTGGCGAGGCGAAGCTCGCCTTGGGCGGCGAGCTCCGCCCTCGCCTAGATCCGGGCGAGGCGGAGCTCGCCATGGGCGGGCGAGGCTCGCCAGATCGGGCGAGGCGAGCTCGCCCGGCCAAGGCGAGCTCCGCCTCGCCGGAGCCGGGCGAGCTCCACCTCGCCCAAATCCGGCGAGCCTCGCCCGGCCCCGGCGAGCCTCCCCCCTGGCCTGTCCGGCCAGGGGGGAGAAGGAAAAGAAAAAAAAAAAGGAAAAAAATTCGAAAATAATAAAAAAATATTAAAATATTGCCATGTGGATGCCTGGCCACGTCAATACGGCAGCTGAAAGGACTAAATTGGCTGGTTTGCAAAAGGTTTAGGACTGAATTGGCAAAAAAAAAGGTTTAGGACTGAATTGGCACAACTACAAAAGGTTTAGGACTTTTTTGGCAATTTCCCATGACCCAAATTAACCCATTTAACCCGTTTTGACCTTTTGCCATTTTATACAAATCTAGAGATCCATATCCTACCAATTCATACTTGACATATATCCAACCAGACCCATATTGCTAATATTCTTCCATATTTAATCTCATTTAAGAAAACTCATACATAAACTTAGGTGAGAGCGCGGAGTGAGCAAGCGCGAGATCGAGTGAGGGTGAAAGAGAGTGAAGGGAGACTCGTAGACTTGGGTTGGATTTAAGTAAATTATGAATCAATTTGACACCCATACTATTTTAGGTTTTATCATTATAAATTTATTTACTGAATGTAATTAACTCAAACAATAATTAAGTGTATCAAATATAGGTTCAAAAAATTGAGTATTTTGACCGGTACAGTGGGATCGATGCTCGGGGACTTCACTTCAGGTGGCTTTGATTGGCAAGAGGACTATTGCAATTTCGTGAGGGTCAAAAAGGGGCAGTGTTGCCAGTGATGATCACGGTGGAAGTTCGCGTCGTCCGACCAAAAGTGTTGGATTCATCATTTCCTCCAATGTCCCCTACATCGCCGCCCCGCAACATCGCCACCTGTTGGGCCTCAATGCTCAAAAGAAAGTTGCAACATCCCCCGCTCTAGTGTTGTACACCTTAGTAGAATATACAAGCGGATAAAGCTTTGATTTGAGTCACGTGACGCGTTTTCGCGCGGGTTTTACGTAACAAGCCACAGCAAATTCTTAATTCACGGGACACACACATAAATATAAGATTATATTTTACACTTCAGCAGCTTTTAAATTCTGAAGTATATGTTATTTATGGCAGTACCTATTCTAATTTGCACTTGAGCATCTTCAATTTTCAAGATCACTTTTGCGTATCTCTATTAATATTTTGAATCAAAGAGTATGATAAGTACTTAAAAGAGTTTAACAACATGGGGATACCCATCACAAAAAGTTACTATAAGGTTAAAAAAAATACATTTTTAGAGTGTTCATCACATGACCGTATGTATTTTCAAAACAAGGTATAACCAAGTGTATAATAAGTGATCAATTTCATGGTTAAAACTTTGTCCTCTATCCATTATTACAAGATTTTTTGTCTTATTTCACAAGTAAATAGTACTAACTAATAGATAAAAAGGAATTACCTAAAGTGATAGTCTTATTTAACAAATCGATGGAAATAACCAAATAAACCTTGGTTAGTAAGAATTGGCAAAAGATTAAAAGAAAATTGGTAATATACGCACTACAAAAAGAATAGATAATTAAATAAGATTATCAATAGATTATCAACAATTTACCGGTAAATCCAGTAACCGATAACCTTTTTACAAATATAGCTTTTTCGACAATGATCAACTCTTTTGTAAATTTACCAACACGAAAAAATCCATTCTCTCCTTTGACAATACAACAGAGTCAACCTCCTGACATGCTCTCTTACATGCATGCTTTTATATAACTGAAGAAACCCTGGATCATGCAAACAAACCTGACAGATAGATACAAATATACAGTAGAAATGGAGATGCAGAATCGAGTAAATAGTATTAGCTTAGGTAGGGTACATCGATTACTTCCTATCTTGCTTTTCTTAACTAGTATCTGAACCACAAACATCATATGAATTGCAAAGTACAGACTGAAGTCTCCATTACTCACGCATGCTCGGCTATCAACAAGTTCTTAGAATGTTTCTTCTATTATTCCCTTTATTCTCACCTTATCACTAATTGAAAAGAGAAAGATCATTCTCCTTTTGCACGATTCGACTGCAAAGGACTGCTCGCCTGAGCTGTTTGATGGACCTGTTGCTGATGAAGCGCAGCCATCTTGTTGAAGTGTTCCATGTTCATATTCTACATCAAAATGGAATAGTTACATCCAAAGGATAATTATAAAATGTTAGTACTAGCATATGTATTAGTCCGATCTCATTTTTTGATAGATTCGACATTAAAGATTACTTGAATCGAATTCTACACTATGCATCACTTACTCGTGCAAGATAGGCACAATAAGGGTCCGGCACGGGCAGCACCGGAGCGTTGGTCCTGCCTTCCGGATTCATTTGAGCTTGAAAGTGCTGCGCAGCCACAAGCGGGGGCACCATGTAGGGCTGCGGCACAAATGCTGCTGCCGCAGCTTGAAAGTGCTGTGCAGCCACAAGCGGGGGCACCATGTAGGGTTGCGGCACAAATGCTGCTGCCGCAGCTGCAGCACGCGCCATGGGATTGATGTCAAGCATCCCGAGCCCGACCCCAGCAGTGCGCGCCGCGAGGAGGGACATCTGGAGTTGCTGGTGGTGCATCGCCACGTTGGGCAGCATCATCTGGGGCATGTCGTTGCGGAGGCTCATCATCTGGATTTGCGCTTGGAGTTGCTGCAAGTAGTCTATCACCTCGTCCAGCATCGAAGCCTTATCGGTCTGCATGTTTCATTTTAACATGTTTGGCATAATCAAAAACCCACCTAAGTCATCTGTCAGTAGAAAACAATATGTTTTCTGCATGAAAATTTCTTTGCGGAGCACTTTACGAAGACTTATCTCACCTTGTTTGCGTTGGGCACCAACCTCTGCAGGGCCTTCATCTTCTCATTAATCCCATCTCTACGTCGCTGCAATGACCATTATTACAAGTTGCATTAGAAAAAATTGAGAGAACATCTTTCCTTTTTTCTCTTTATCTGATTTTTTTAATCGTCATCCGTTTACTTGGACGCATACTTGGTTTGCTTACATGCATTATGAATTATGAATCTAGATTGTCAAGTCTGACGGGATTCACATGAGACCCATCGAATATGCCAATACCATAATTTTAGTATACATAAGATGTTCAAAAATACTTTCTTATTCGTCTGAACTCATGGACGGAATATCTTACATTAATCATATAGGACTCCTTTTATGAGTGATGAGAACTTATTGTATTGTTTATATGTCGAATATCTAAATTCGATCCTATCAACGATGCAAGAAAGTAATGGAAATTCGCACAACACAAGAATTTACGTGGTTCAGCAGGGGAGATGTTCCGCCTACCTACGTCCACGGGGAGAAGAGATCCGTTTCACTAATAACGTAGAAAAGTGTACAGCCACTCTTTCTCACCCCTGCCTCTATTCTAGAGACCCGTTTTGCCCTAAATATATATAGCGAAACCCTATATGGCACAAATTACAAAATTGCTCACATAGCCTAAAATATTTAGCTTTCCTATATAAATCTTTCTATGAATGAACATAAAACGCCTCTGGGGGCCCAGGGGCGCTGCCCCCGCGACCCTCGTGCTGTCCAGTCGTCAGGGGGCCTTTCGAAACTGCCTTATAATATCTTGGATAACAGAATACAAGACATCATCTTCAACATTATAAACCACATGGACCAATATCATCCGAACCATTAATCAAGTGGGTCCCATCATTAGACCCGCATAATTAGCAAAGTTGTGCATATCTTGATAAACTGGACTTATGTGCTCTGTATACCATGTAATAATTTTTAAAAGGCAAGTAGATCAAGTCAATCACATTTTAAGAATTTATGACATTCATGCCGAATCCCATTAAAAAAAATTAAATTTTACGACTTCTTGAATTAGATAGATTCCACATATGGTAATGACTTAATCTACTTGTTCAGATGTATTTTTTATACATGACTACTCGAGCAAAGAAAAATAGAAGGCTTGCTATGAGAAAGGAGATCTGGGCATATATATACTACCCGCTCCGAGAGATTATGAATGGCAGAAGCTCTACTTCTCCTGGTTGATCGTGAAGGGCCAATTTCACCTTTATCCTCACCATCTTCATCTTGATTTTCCTGTCAAAGCATCAATCATAACATGCGATCAATCACTTTGGCAAACAAGGCTAATGTTTCCTCGAGCAAATCGAATTTCTTGAATTCAACTATGTATATTTCTAGGAATTATATCTTTAGGGTTCATATCGACTTTCAAATCGGGCGAGTCTCACATGACGTCCATTAACCTATCCAAAAAAAGTGATGAAGATTCGATAAACATTATTACCCCGTCTGTTCAGGTGGCTCTTTTATTGAACTAAGTAAATATCAGCAATGCATGTCTACGACTAAGGAGAACTCATGTACCGATTCGCCACGAGAAGCTGAGTCGTCCTCGTCTGTGGCTTTAGTCTTGAAGCTCGTGGGGGATTCGAAGGAAGCCCACGTCATCATCGTCATGTCGTCATCCCTGCAAATCGCCGCGCCGGCGCTTCTGCATTTGCTACGTTCCTCTCTATTGGTACCCCCACCAACGCCATTGCCGGAGTTCTTCTTCACAGCATGAACGGGCTCGGAGTCCGACAGCTTCCTTTTCTTGACCAAGTAAGTGCTCACCGGACATTGCAGGCTGGGATGGCTCTTGTCCAATATGCCACCAGCTGATGATGATGGTCTCATGCGATGCGATGATGATGATGGTGGGTTCTTCTTGTGACACGTGGCCTGGTGGACGATGGACTCTAGTGTATCGCTGCTTCCCAATGGTGGGGGCTTTAATAGGCCGTGGCCATGCATGGCTAGTTGACCATTCTCCCATGTCAGCTCTGCAACTCCATGATTTGACCTGGCATGTATGTTCAAGCTCTTCATATGCATTAGTCTCTCTTTTGGAGCTACAAAGCACAGATTCAAATGAAATTGATGCATGTGCATGTTCCAAGTTCAAGATAAAAGATGGTTATTTCTTCTTCTTCATTTTTGGCGACAAGTCCTTTAATTACTCGAATTAAACACAATGAATTGGATTTCTCTGCGAGAAAATGGAGAGATAAGTAGGAGAGATATTCACACTTATCGATTGAGACACGAGCCTCGTCAAGATGTCGATGCTAGAGAAATTAAAAGAACAATTACAAGGGAAGGAAGAGAATGTTGCATACATGGAGGAAGAAGAATAGTGAGCATGATGATGGGGATGAATCTGGGGCATCTGCACGTGAGAGGATCTATTATTCCCATACCCTCCTTCGACTTGTTCTTGTCTTTGTTGCCTCAGATTCCAATCTGGTGCTGCGCAATGACTCATCTCTCTCTCTCTCTCTCTCTCTCTCTCTCTCTCTCTCTCTCTCTCTGATCTATGTGAACAGGAAGTCTAGGAAAAGATTTTTGAGTTGGGATTCCTGAGTGTTGTTTCCTTCTCCATGGGGTCCCCTTTATGGTGTTAGTCACTTAGGCTTGATAGTGATTTTTTGCCACAAATTATGAGAGGTGCAAAAAATGAAGATATAAACTTTTTCTATGATTGGTGGCTAGAGAACTGGTCCATGAGGGAATAAATATGTTTTGGTTTTTGTACCATAGATGACGAGAGCATTTGATATAGCTGCAGCTAAATTGTAGTTACATCGTGCTGTCAAGCACCATCTTGTTTTAAAGTTGTAACACCTCGAAATTAGGTGAGATAGCTTTTAGGAAGCTATCATAAGCTGCTGCAATTTACGACTCGCAGGGAAACTAAAAACGGTCAGTGAGCAAAAATGAGTTTTGCTTCCGCATCTTCTCGAGGGATGTATCTAATAAGTCAACTGTGTAGTTGTGATTGATGTGGTCTTGCACAATCATGAAACTGTGCGGTTACTGATGGAATTGAGGAAGTATCCCAAGTATGAGGAAAGCAAGACAGTGACATGTAATTGATTCATATAATTCAGATCAGAGAGCATTAATGGCGGTGGGCTCGAAATTGAGCTGATCTGATCTACTTGACATTAATATGTTCCCATCCCCAAGCATATAACAACCTCAAGATCAGATCCACCATAGCTGGTTCAGGTCCACAGTTTCCTGGTCAATTTTTTCTTTGGGCTCACCAATTTGGTTCATCATTTGTGACTCGAGAAATCTCAAAAAAGAATTAGACCCGCATCGAAGCAGACGTACGGAAAAATGCTTAACATGAAAGAAATACGACCGTTTGCATTGAACGAGATGTCGAAAACCCTAGTTTTTCTTTTGTACGATCGTATTTACGCACTGATTAAAGAGCTAAATCATCGACGTTGTCGTATATTGTAAATACAGATCTTCGGTGTCTCGACTACAAAGTATTATCGATCAATTTTGCTAACGTTTTCTTGGGTCATGAACGTGTGATCATAATGTGTCGCGTTTCCTAGATACAAGACGCGTCTACCGACATGGTCTGCTGGCGTTAGATACAATGTAATGCAGAATGTTTTCAAGCATTTTAGTCGCCGTCGAGTGATTGTGACGATACTTCAAGTTTCTTCTCAGCCAGACACAGCCGCAATTCCAATTCCTGCGTGTGCAGCGAACACGTAGCGACCGCCCCCTCCATGCCACGTGGAGACCGCCCATTGGATCCGCGGCTGGTCCCCTGTGGTCACCGCGTGTCAACATCAGTCAATTTTTCTCTCTTCAATTGCTGTGAACGCACGGATGCACACCTGACCTTTTTTCTTCCATCTTCAAGGCATGGTGTCGGCAACAAATCCTTGGCGGGCTTGGATTCGATTGCAATTTGTTGGCCCATTCAATAATCGGTCCACACGATCATTCAATTGCACCTTGCATGACAATGGACTTATTATTTTTATTTTTATTATTAATTACTATCATTCATTTTCAACTTTTCACAAAAAAATATTATACTCAATAATGATTTTTTAGAAAAAAATTTCTAACAATTTATGTTTCATCACAAGTGAATAAACTCATCACTAAAAAGACAGATTGCACATAGATGGGGCTCGACATAGGCACCTAAAAATTATTTCATAAGGGCCGAGATCTATTCTCGAATAGAGGAAGATCCACATGGGATTTTTTTATTTTTTTTTTGTGGTCGAAACGAACCCATTTTCATTTAACTAGCATCATAAGCAGAACATAACTTATAAGTAGCTGAACAAAGTAAAGCCAATTAGGGGGTGGGATCCATTCTGATGGGCTTTTGTGATGTAATCCGCCTCTTGATTCGCACCTCGGGGACAATGAACAATTGAAACAACTTCAAGATGGGCCGGCAAGTCCTTGCACTCCTCAACCAGACTTCGGAGGGCCCATGGGCTGGGTGATAAGCCAGTCGGCATATCTACCACCGATAGGCTATCGGAGAGGAGTTCCACGCGCATATCAAAAGCAGGCTTCAATTCGTGCGTCTTGGACTTGGTCAGAACGAAGATGGCTTCTTTAACCGCTAGGGTTTCTGCATCAAGAACTGAGGAAGCACGTACCTCTGGGACAAATCCGGCGACAGGCAGGCCACTAGTGTCTCACAGCAGTAGATCCTTTAAATTCAACATCAACTATGCTACAACCTAGCAGAGTTTGGTTTTTGAGGGGGTGACAGTGGTAAAGTTAACATAATGTTCCAAATTCCACTTGAGCATTCAAATCCGGAGGGAAAAGTGCCAAAAAAGTCCTAAACCTTTTGCATTAATGTCAATTTAGTCCTAAACTTTTTTTTGATGCCAATTTAGTCCTAAACCTTTTTTTGGTGCCAATTAAGTCCTAAACCTTTTAAATTGGTGCCAATTCAGTCCTAAACCTTTTGTTTTTGTGCCAATTTAGTCTTTCCGGTAAATTTTAACCGGAATTTGCCGACGTGAATGCCTGCTAGCCGTCGGCCGGTCACCGGCGCCGACGTGGACAACTTTAATAATATTTTAATATTTTTTTGAAATTTTATTTTTTTTCTTTTTTTTCCACTTTTTTTTTTGGGTCCCCCGCTCCTTCCTCTGGCCGGTCGCCGGTCCGGCGACCGGCTAGAGGCCAGAGGCCGGCGAGCTCGACCTCGCGCGGCCACTGGCGAGGGCGTGCCTCGCCTTGGTCGGGCGAGGCTCGACCTCGCCCGGATCCGGCGAGGTCGCACCTCGCCCGACCAAGGCGAGCTCGAGCCCTCGCCGGAGGCCGTGGCGAGGGCGAGCCTTGCCATGGTCGGGCGAGGCCCGACCTCGCCGGATCTGCGCGAGGTCGCCGGGCGAGGCTCGACCTCGCCGGATCAGCGAGGCGGGCCTCGCCCGACCATGGCGAGGCTCGAGCCCTCGCTCGGAGGCCGCGGGCGAGGCCCGACCTCGCCGGATCTGGCGAGGTCGAGCCTTGCCCGACCATGGCGAGGCTCGCCCTCGCCGCGGCCTCCGGCGAGGGCTCGAGCCTCGCCATGGTCGGGCGAGGCGCGACCTCACCGGATCTGGCGAGGTCGAGCCTCGCTCGACCAAGGCGAGGCACGCCCTCGCCAGTGGCCGGCGAGGTCGAGCTCGCTGGCCTCTAGCCCGGCGACCGGCCAGAGGAAGGAGCGGGGGACCCAAAAAAAAAGTGGAAAAAAAAGGAAAAAAATAAAATTTCAAAAAAATATTAAAATATTATTAAAGTTGTCCATATCAGCGCCACAACAGCGCCGGTGACTAGCCGCCGGCCGGCAGGCGTCCACGTCGGCAAATTCCGGTCAAAATTAACCTAAAGGACTAAGGCCCCGTTTGGTTCAGCATTTGGGGAACGGAAAGCCGAAAGTTAGCATTTGGAATGCTGAAGTCTATTTTTCCCTTCCCAAATTGCCCTCACTCAAATTTCTTTATTCCGGTTTTGCCCATGTTACTGTTCATCTTCTTCACTGTGAGGGTGGCCCGCGAGGGTGGCCGGCGAGGGCGGATCTGGCCGGCGAAGGGCCGGTGAGGTTGCCCGACCCAGGCGATGGCCGCCTGGGGTCGGGCAACCGCCCAGGCGCCGTCGCCTGGGTCGCGCAACCACCGCAGCAGCGGTCGCTGAGGTCGCGCTACCCCAGGCGGCGGCCGCCTGGGTGCGGGACCCGGGCGACGGTCGGCTGTGTCGCAACCCAGGCCGGCGTCGCACGAGGTCGCGCGACCCGGGCGGCGGCACCTGGGCGGTCGCCCAGGCCCAGGCGGCGAGTCACAGGGTTCGGGCGACCTCGCCGGCGCTTCGCCGGCCACCCTCGCCGGCCAGATCTGCCCTCGCCGGCCAAGAAGATGAACAGTAATAGAGGCAAAATCGGAATATTAAAACTAAAAATTGCCAAAGCTCTTTGCAAAAAAAAATTTATCAAACACTACTTAGGCCAAAGGAGCTTCACAAATTTTTTTTACCAAACACCAATTACATTTCCCCAAGTGGCTTTCACCTAAAGGTATTTGCATTCCCCCAAGTTGCATTTGAAAAGCCGAACCAAACGGGCCCTAAATTGGCACAAAAACAAAAGGTTTAGGACTGAATGGCACAAATTTAAAAGATTTAGGACTTAATTGGCACAAAAAAAAGTTTAGAACTAAATTGGCACCAATGCAAAAGGTTTAGGACTGAATTGGCACCAAAAAAAGGTTTAGGACTAAATTGGCACTAATACAAAAAGTTTAGGACTTTTTTGGCACTTTTCCCCAAATCCGGGTGACACATGATTCGGGATAAAAAGAAAAAACGGATATTGTCGGTAACCCCATAAACTTAGTTGAGCTTCTTTCTACGAACCTGTCCCATCTTCCCAACATCAATTCCATCCTTGCTGTCCATTGAGCCCGCTCTATATCTTTCCATTCATTACCTGGGTCTTTCGTCACCTAATTAAAAGTAGAAGTAGAGAACACTCCTTTTGAACTTGAACTGAAGAAGAAATTCTTTCCCTAAAATTAAAGCTTCTATAAATATGGATAAGCTCCATTACAATTATGAAATATCATTAACTTTTTGTGTGTTATCCATATCTTTGTCGAGCTATTTTTCCACAGGTCGCCCCCTGCTTCTCTCATGCTCACCTCTCTCTTGGTTGGTTCTCTCGTGCTTGTCTCACCTCGAATCCAGGTTTTTTTACTTCGATTCCTTCTAGTTTTGCTTTTTTCAGTTGTGATTTTTAAGTGCATGGTGATTTCTTGAACGGTACTTACGATGTTATGCTTGATTGAGGATATTACTACTCGAGTAATACAAAGTTTTTTATGGAGATGGAAGAGTGCAAGGTATGTAGAAGTAGATTGGGGATTCTGCGTATGCTTGGCTTTTCTCATTCCCGGACTTGGATTGTGTCCTGATCAAGGTGTTTTGTTCATGTCGTAAGCATGAGCTGTATCCAATAGAAAACGCCCGTGCTGTCCTGTTTGTTGAAGTG